AACTAGTTTAGTAGATTCAACTAGCTCAGTGATCTGCAAATAGCTCAATAATAACAACCAGCTCAGTAGCTTCACTAGTTCAGTAGATTCAACTAGCTCAGTGATCTGCAAATAGCTCAATAATAACAACCAGCTCAGTAGCTTCACTAGTTCAGTAGTCTCCAACGAGCTCAGAATAATCTCCAACGAGTCCGGTGCCCTCACCAGCCCAACGCCTCTGCCATCTCTGCGCGCCGGCGATGGCCGCGCACACCCGTGCACCACGCGCCGCGCCGGCCCAACTCATGTCAACTGCTCCTTAGTCAGCCTAATCTACCCTAACCGCCGCCGTTCTTCTTCCAACGCCGCCGTTTCCCGCCGCCCCTCCGCCATGGACACTGCCCCCGCGGACCCCGCGCGCACCCGCAACCCGTTTGCCCCACGCACGCCGTCCTCCGTGCGCCGTGCCGCCGCAGACGTCTACCCCGAGCGCAAGGGCCTTAACCGCCCGGACTTTGTGGCCAACACGCCGCTCGACCGCTTGTTCCAGGACCTCGAGGCCGCGCTCCACGGGCCGCTCGACTCGCTCTCGGTGGCCGTGCTTGCCGAGCGGCTTTTCGCCGCGGACCCCGCGCCGCCACCGCCGCCCGCAGACACCCACTTCCAGGTCGTGGCCCGGCTCCTCGACCGGCTCCTCGACATCCAGCAGATGGCCCAGCAGGCCGCGGCCGCCGCGCCGCAGAAGGGCCTCGTGGCCATCTCGCTCCACGACATGCGCACGTTCGGCAAGCTCGTCAACCTCGTGGTGTTGCACGGCGTGTACGCGCCGCTCGGCGCGTTCCACATCGGCGTGCCCTTGGCGCAGCGCCGGCTCCACGACTTCGGCACGGCGCGCTACCGGCCCATGCCCGTGGCGCCCGTGGCGCCCGTGGCCGCGGCCGCGGCGCCCGCGCAGCGCTACGCGCCGCACCGCCGGCTCTTGGAGCTCGTGTTCGACCGGCTCATGCGCGTGTTCGCGGCTGACTCGGACGTGCGCAGCCTCCTCGTCCGCGGCTCCGGCTACGCGGACCTCGTGGTGGTGGCCGCGGCGTTGGCCACGGTGCCGGCGTTCGGCGCCGCGGTCGGCGCCCGCTACGCGGCGCGCTTCGACGCCGTGGCGCAGGCCGCGCCCACGTTCGAGCTCTACCAGAACTACGCGGTGCTCGTGGCCACGCCGCAGCCGGCGTACTTCCGCGACTTCGTCATGGCGCGGCTCCAGCTCTTGCCCGCGTGCGCGCCGCGCGGCGACGGCGTGCTCACCTTGATGGAGTTTGTCTTGGGCCTCCGCGACAACGCGGCCGTGACCGTGGACAAGCTCGACCACGTGGCGCGCGTGTTGCTCGCGCGGCCGCGGGCGCTCGCGCCCGCCGCGTACTTCCGTGCGCTCGGCGGCCAGTGCTACGAGCTCCTCGTCAACATCAACCGGCCCACCATCACCGCGTGCGTGGCGCACTTCCTCGCGCAGTTGTGGGCCAAGAACCCGCGCGTCGTGGAGTCCTTCTTCCTCCGCCCCGTGTGGGACGCCTTCGACCCTGCCCCCGGCGCGGCGCCGGAGGGCGTGCTCGTGGGCGAGCGCGCGCTCAACAACAACGTCAACGTGCTCCTCTCCTTGGCCCAGCACGCGCTCCCGCGCGGCTTGGTGGCCGCCGCGTTCGGCCCCGTGGCGCTCCCGCTCTGGGCGTACTTCTGCTTTCTCCGCCGCCACGGCCGGCCCGCGGACACCGCGCAGAACATCTTGCTCAGCTTCCTCACCCAGCTCGGCGAGGACCCGCCGGCCGCGTGCGCGCAGCTCGAGCGCATCTGCGCGAACCTCGTGGCGGAGCACCCGTGGCACTTCCGCGTGGGCGCCAACCTGCTCGTGGAAATCGCGGCCGGGCCGCCGCCCGCCGCCGCCGCGGGCCTGGAGCGGCTGATGCTCGACTTCGTGGGCCGCGTGGACGCGCACTGCGCCGCGTTCCTCGCGCTCGCGGACCAGCTCGACGACCGGCTCGTCAAGGTCGTGTTTGTGGCCTTGCTCTCCAGCTGGGTGCGTGCCCAGCTGGCCGCCGCCACGCGCTTGGGCGAGAACCCGTTCGCGCGCCTCGTGCACTTGCGCCTCTTGCAGGACGTGGGCTCCCGCTTCAAGGACCGCTTGGCCCAGACGCCGCTCGACATCTTGGTGCTCGTGCGCAGCGTGCTTGGCCCGGGCCCCGCCTCCGCCGCCGCGCCGACGGCCGATCCGGGCGCCGATTCCGACGATGACGACGACGACGACCCGGAGACGGCGGCCCGGGACATCGCCACCGTGGTCTTGGAGCTCCTCCTGGCCATCATCTCCGAAACGCCCCCCGCACAGTTCTCCGCGGACTGCCGCCACGCGCTCGCCGATATCAGAGCCTCGCTCGAGAAAGACTACAGTGCGCTCGCAGCGGGCCGGAGTGTGGCGGCACGCATCGCGCTCATCTTGGACGAGCAGGCCCCACCGGACTCGTCTGCGGAGGCCGACAGGCGCGTGTTTGCGCGCGCCATCGCCAGTCTCAATGACCCGCTTGTGCCCATCCGCGCACATGGCCTCTATCTCTTGCGCCAACTCGTGGAGACGCGCAGCCCGGTCATCGCCGTCGACTTCGTCGTGACGCTCCATCTCCTCCAGCTCCGGGACCCGGACCCGTTTGTCTACCTCAACGCAATCAAGGGCTTGGACAGCTTGCTCGGACTTGCAGACATCCAGGTGTTGCCGGAGCTTCTTGCAGTATACTGTGGTGACGCCGGAGGAGAGAGTTCAAACGAGACAGCAAAGACTGAAGAGCAGGCGCTGCGACTGCCGCCTAGCACCAACAAAGAGGATCTTGGGGCGGGCGTGGCGCGGTCGTCCCAGCTGAATTACAAAGCATCTCTTGAAAATGATTCTCAGGTCAAGTTTGAAGAATCCCCTAGCCACGAATCTCTGGTCAAACCAGAAAATCCCGAACCTTTGGCTCATCCACAGGGGCCTAGCTCCACGGGTGGACCTGATAACACTCCTGAGCGTACCCATTCCAAGCCAGAAGCATCTCTGGAAATCAGCACTTCATCTGGCATTTCCCTGGAAACCTCATCGACATCCAAACCCTTCCCCCACCCAAGCCAAGATGCCGAATACAAAGACTCCCCCCTTTCAAAAACAGGCCCTGACTCCCAGCCAGCAGATTTGGACGAGCGTCTACGGGTCGGAGAGGTGCTCTTACGATATGTCCAGGCACAAGACGAGGCCTTTTCTGGCAAAACGGCTCATCTCGTGTGTGAGGCTGCGTTGCGTTTGATCCGCAGACCCAAAAACGATGCCGACAAGCCGGACGACCGTTTGCGCATGTCGGCCATGTCCGTCTTGGGCACGTGCTGCAACACCAACGCCTTGGGCATTGTGGACAATATCGAAAACGCCGTTGACTGCGCCCTAGGGGTGTTGGACCTCGAGACAACGAAGGACCAGGCCATCATGAGAAGGTCCGCCATCGTGCTTATTCACGACTTGGTGAGCGGGACCTCCAGGTCCGAGAACGTGCCATTTCCACGCAACTACATGAAGAAAGTCATATATGTTCTCAGGTACGTACAGGGTAATGATCTGGACGTGTTGGTACGAGAGCAGGCGACATCTGTCTTGGAGTATATTGATGAGTTGGTCAAGGCGTCATTGGCCTCGGAGGACTGATGGTCAAATCATGTACATTATTAATAGAAGCCAGGCAAGTCAGGCGATACGCTACCAACTAATCGCTCAACACAATTCCATCCTTAAACCTCAATCAAAGCAAGTCAATCATCTCAATTCAATAATTAATTGTATGTCATCACAACTATCGAGTGAGTTTTGACGTTGTTGCTTTGCACGGTCGTGCACGGCCCAATCAGACAAATAGAACTTCAATTACTTTTAAATTATATTGTGCACTGATCCTTAGCATCAGGCGTTAGAATACATAACTTCGTTTAGTCAACCTCCTCCATGGCAGACTCGACAGATGGCTCCTCGGCGGCGTCAGCAGACACCTCGGCCTCAACCTCCTCCTCTTCCTCGATGTTCAAACCCAAAGAAATCAATCTGTTAATTCTACCAGCGAAAGAAGATGGCTCCTCCAAGGTGAAACCAGAAGTGAGCAAAGCGGTCTCGTACAACAAGGTGGTCAAGTCCTTGACGGTCTTGTCCTCGGCACCGTCGGCTTCGACCTTCTTTCTCAACTCCTTGATGATCGAAGACTTTGGAGAGATCTCGAAAGTCTTCTTGGAGGACATGTAAGAGGACATGGTGGTGTCTCTCAAGGCCTGGGCCTTCATGATTCTCTCCATGTTGGCGGACCAACCGAATTGGCCGGTTCTGATAGCGGCAGGGGCGTCCACCAACTTGTGGGAGACAACAACCTTCTCGACTTGCTCGCCCAAGATCTCCTTCAAGGCCTTGGTCAATGGCTCGAACTCAGCAATCTCCTTCTCTCTCTCGGCCTTCTCCTCCTCGGTCTCCTCCAACTCGAAGTCCTTGGTGATGTCGACCAACTTCTTGTCCTCGAACTCCTTCAATTGAGTCATGGCGTACTCGTCGATTGGCTCAACCAAGAACAAGACCTCAAACTTCTTGGCCTTCAAGGCGTCCAAGAATGGGGAGTTCTCGACAGCCTTGATGGACTCACCGGTGATGTAGTAGATGTTCTTTTGGTGCTCTGGCATTCTGGTGACGTAGTCAGACAAAGAAGTGTACTCCTCGGTGGACTTGGTAGAGTAGTATCTCAACAACTTGGCCAAGGCGTTTCTGTTTTGTTGGTCCTCGTGGATACCCAACTTGATGTTCTTGGAGAAAGCAGTGTAGAACTTCTCGAACTGCTCGGCGTCCTCGGCAATCTCGTTGAATGTCTCAATCAACTTCTTGACGATGTTCTTTCTGATGACCTTCATGATCTTGTTTTGTTGCAACATTTCTCTGGACAAGTTCAATGGCAAGTCCTCAGAGTCCACAACACCCTTGACGAAGGACAACCACTCTGGGATCAACTCCTCAGCCTCATCGGTGATGAAGACACGACGGACGTACAACTTGATGTTGTTCTTCTTCTTCTTGGACTCAAAGGCGTCGAATGGGGCCCTCTTAGGCACAAACAAGATGGCCTTGAACTCCAACTGACCCTCGACAGAGAAGTGTTTGACGGCCAATGGGTCCTCCCAGTCGTTGGAGAAGGACTTGTAGAAGGCGTTGTACTCGTCCTGGGTGACGTCAGATGGGGCTCTGGTCCACAAAGGCTTGGTCTTGTTCAACTCCTCGATCTCGGTCACGTTCTCCTTGACCTTTTTGGTCTCCTCCTTCTTCTCGCCCTCCTCATCGACCTCCTCCAACTTAGGCTTCTTGTCGTCGCCCTCCTCGGCAGTCTCCTCCTCCTTCTCGGCTGGGACGTCCTTCTCAACCTCCTTCGTGACCATCAACTCGATTGGGTAGGACACGAACTCGGAGTGTCTCTTGACAACCTCCTTGATTCTCTTCTCCTCCAAGTACTCCAACTGGTCCTCCTTCAAGAACAATCTGAGCACGGTACCACGAGAGATTCTCTCATTGGTCTCGTCCAAAGTGACGGTGAACTTGCCGCCGGCATTGGACTCCCACACGTACTGCTCGTCGTCGTTGTGCTTGGAAATGACCTGCACGTGGTCGGCGACAAGGAAAAGCGAGTAAAAACCAACACCGAACTGGCCGATCATGGAAACGTCCGCTCCTGCAGACAAGGCCTCCATGAAGGCCTTTGTGCCGGACTTGGCGATCGTACCCAAGTTGTTGATCAAGTCGGCCTTGGTCATACCGATACCAGAATCGCGGATTTCCAAGACCTTGCCCTCGGGCTTAGGCGTAAGTCTGATGAACAATTTAGGCTCGGTCTCCAATTTGGAAGGGTCGGCCAAAGCCTCGTATCTGATCTTGTCCAAAGCATCGGAAGCGTTGGAAATCAACTCTCTCAAGAAAATCTCTTTGTTAGAGTAGACCGTGTTGATGATCAAGGACATCAACTGAGAGATCTCAGCGGTAAATTCGTGGGTTTCAACGTTTTCAGCCATTTTTGTGTGTGTCGGAAAATCTGGCCTGGGGAGAGGATTGGAAAATCTGGCTTGTTATATACGTGCCTCGGTGCTGCCCGCACGGGCGCACAAGGGTACATGGAGAAGTTTCCACGAGCTTCTTTGGGCAGCGCACGACCGGGGCCTGAGCCTGGAAGCGGATGGAAAAAAAGGCTGTGCTGGCAGAATCTGGACATGGTGGGGAAGAAAGAGTGGGCGGTCCGTAGAAATTTGGAGAATAGCCCGGAAATTTTGGTGTGGCTGTTTTCGAGGGTGTGGGAGCGTTCCACTTTTTTCATCTTTTTTGGTGGGTGCAAATTCTGCCAACTCACTGGGCAATTTCGTGGGCGAATGGAGGAGTGTATGCGATGCATGTTGAAGTAAAACATACTAGCGGATAGACATGGCCCAACGGGATATCAGGAGCCTCAGTAAGTAGGTGTTATTTAGAATGTTAAAAAGAAAAAAAGAACAGGTTGCTTTCGGATGAAACTGGTGACATATGTTGGGTCTGTCTGGTTTCATCAAGTTGCGGGGATCGTGGAGTCACCACTATACCAGTGACGCAATAGCCACTTTGATGACAATCAACAAGCAGCACTAAAACCTGCTATTTCTCACTGTGACTCAAGACCCGAAACTCGGGCTCTTTGTTCCTGACTAATTGTAGGGCCCCCGCCAGGGCTATATGCACGTACGAACTAAGGTCAACCATTGCTTTGACAGTTTGGATCACCTAATATTTCACTCCCCGATAGGAGGTTCCAGTTCAGCCGGTCAATCGACACATTTCATGAATACCTTCGTCTGCTTGGCGAGCTCAAGTGCTATATCTGGTTTGAACACGTCTACATCTGGATGCTCGTCTCAATCCTGTTTTCTCGTGGGGCAAATTCCTATTTCCTTGTTTCCCATGGATTTCGATCAGTCTAGATCACGGCGAATAGAGTATTGTGAATGTGGGCGTTAATATGGAATATTGCTTATCTTAGCTACTTAGCACTGAGAGTACCCTGACTGAGACGAGAACAAGTAATAGTTGGTGAACAGTTTCATTTTCATAGGCGTGTATAGCTTCTCTCATTTCTGGAGTTTCGCATTCCTAACCATGAAAAAAGGCCAAAAATACGTATTTGGCTCGAGCTCTAGTAAACTTCTTACGACCCAAGTTTGGTATAAAGGCCACATTACGCAAACAAGCGGAGGCGTGGTAAGTTATTTTTCGTAAGTGTTGTGGGAGAAATAAGACATTCGTAATCCCCCTTGATTTTTTTCAATTTGTACAAGTGATCAGCAACATACATAAACTCCGCGGCTCCTTGCCAATTTTCGATTAACATTCGGCTACTCCATCTATCTAACAAATTGAGGGAATCTCGCAAACAAATATGATATTTTATAGTACTTTTGCCATCAGTACCAAGGTCAAGATCGCTGACTCTTCGCAGCTAATTTCGGCTAGGGTATGACATTGTAACTACTGGTTGTGACAAGAGTCACCAAACCACAAATAGAAGCGGTGGTACTTCTCGATCTAGCTAACAAGAAAGTACCAGCTAGATCAAGTCCATTCCCCCTTGTTCATCTGCCTCCTCTTGATTGCTGGGAGCCGACTGGGTCCATGCTGCCTGTGTGCAGGCCGGCCTCGCATCGAAGTCCAGTGAGAAGATTCCGAGAAGCCTGTTTTGCTAGCTAGTCAGACCAGTCTTATTTGCAAGATACGTCCCCAAAATCCCCCACCCGCTGGTTGTTTAGAATCTCAGTGAAACATGATCTTATTCTGGCTTGTCAGCGCATTGACATCGATCGCTTTTTGTTTCGAATTATTATTAGGACATGGCCTTGTGCTTTTTTATTGTTGATTTGCCCAAACATACTGAGTCTAAATCATAAGTACAATACATAAGAAAGCTTACGCAAGAGATTTTCGTGGAGCATATCATCACAGCTCCTGTCGGTAAGATTGGCATTTCAGTACGCATGGTCAATTCTGTGTCTTCTCAAGGTACAGTTTAAAGGCTCTCTTTCACTGAGTTTATTGATAATATCCACGACTTCTGGTCACATCATATTTCATTAGCCTTTTCAAAGGCAGCGAAATCCTCTATGCCAAACTTTCTGCAAAACTCCCGGCTGCTTTCCAAAGCGCATTTCACAGTGTCCAGCAAACTCTCAGTTTCATTGTTCTTCCAAACCATTGAGTCCTCAATTGCCTGGAGCAACCCGGTAACAAGCACCCGTTCAACAGTTGCGTCAGAGGCAGAGACATACACACTCATAAGGTCCCTGTCGAGATCCCAGAATTCGATACCATTTGGAATAATCACGCTATCCTGCTCACAGACTCTACTCTTGGGACTGGGAAGCAAGTCTGTGATACCGAGATCAAGTGACGAGGAAACATGGCTGAGGCTCCATGTTTTGCCTTTGCGGGACACCACTATGAGGTTCGGTCTGTAGAAATCATGGCCGCAGCCACAGTCATTCAAATGTGCGCGGGCAATGCCGGCAAAATACTCCGTGTCTTCAGAATCGATTGTCTTGATGCTCAATAACGGCGTGCCACCTCGAAGCGGGCTTACGGAGTCGTCGTTGGTGGAGGTCTCGGACGCACAAATACCATTGTCTGTCCAAAGCTCACATGTGATGATTTTAAGTGGGTCCAACAGGGTGAGCATCAGCACATGCTCATGGTGAGCGCCGGCTCCGCTGACAAAAGGGATCCAATTTTTTTCCACCTTCTTGTCCTGTTCGCCTTGTACGTGAAGCTGCTTGGTCCGCGTAAACCACATGTCTCTGGTTTGATCCGTGTCTGCCCCTTCGATTTGCTTTCCTTTCTGAACCTGAAACGGCAAACTCATGAAAATAGACCGGAAGCCATGGAGTTCAATACCCTCTCCTGTGTCCAGCTGATGTTCATGGTATGCGTTGAAAACCACCACCGGCTCCTCGTGGCCTTGCTTGCTTCGTACCAACGTGACACGCGGGTCTTCAGACCCCCAGTATTTTCTTTTTGTTTTGAACGGAAAAGGTATGGGGAGAAAGCGAGGAAACCGATACAGGTGATAATCTTGGTTACCGACACGAAACCCGGGTGCATTCTCCACTGTGTTGCTGGGGAAAACCACTCTCACGTCCGGCACTTCTTGCCACAGCTCGTCGAAAATTTGCGCTAGAGTCAAACTGATTTCGGGGTTTTTTCTGGAGCCTGTTTTACTCAAAATCATGCGAGACACAACCAAGTGCACGTTGTAATCGCTTAGCCACACTGAAGACCCGGAAAATCTATACCAATGTTGAATCTCCTTGTTTTCTGTCATGTACTCCTCTAAAAACCCCCGCAAATGCTGGTTATACGAATCGTCGTATGTGTCGGCCTCGTCGAAAAAAATCTCGAATACTCGGCTCTGATTAAGCGCCATGTGCTGGCTGTCATCAGCCCCCAACTTGAATTTGTGCTCATTCTCTGCACATGTTGCGCCTGGCGAGGCCGCGTATAGAAGGGAATCGTAGATCTTAAAGTCACCTGGCTTATGCGGCGGTGTTACCAAAACCTCTGCTTCAGGAAGCTGGAAAGATTCCCAGTGTTCACTAGATGTTCCTCTTAGATGGTCACGAAGCACTTGTTCTGGGATTTGAGAACCCAATGGAAGAAGAACTTTACGGGACTTTTCACGCAGTCCAGTGCCAGGGGCATAGTCTGGTTTCTTCTTCCAGCCTATGTCCAAAATATCACTCTCTTCATGATATAAAACTAAAGTGACGGCTATACATGCAAACAAGCTCAACGCAACCAAAAGCTTCTGTCGATTCCCAGTGCCTTTGAAGAGCATACTCTCAGAAAATTTGTGGGATAAATCAAAGACAAATTCTTAAAGTTCAAAGTTGCTACAGAAAACTGGTCTTTTGAGGAGGGATAAGATATTTCTTGTATTCAATCAACGTGAGTCTGAAAGCAATTTTTGCTTCTTTTCTTTTCTAAGAAGGTCCCGAAATGCCTCTGTTTGATGGAGTTCTCATAATAACACGCATTGTGAGCGATCTTGTCTTCGTGTCCTCTGCTGAACAATGAATACAAGTCTAGAACTCTGTTGTCATCATACAGGAGCACTATGCACGACTACCAAATCGGTCGCAAAGGAGAACTTTGCCAACTGCCTGCATATATTACACGTGCCTGGAGCGTAGTTCCAGATCTCAGCAAAAATTGATTTTTTAAGTTCGTCAACCTCCGTCGTTTCCAAAACCAGCCAGTATTTTCCGGTGCAATATGGATATCATGGAGGTGGCTGAACGACTCCCTAAGCCTTTGTCGAGATCTATCCTGCGCGTAACGCGCATTGTTATCACAGTCTGGTTAGGGCCTGGTCAATGTTGTACACAGTCCTGTTTCTCATCTAGGCATGGTGAAAACATATGAACGAAATGAAGTGAGGACCGCATCAGTGAAATTGGGTTTGTGACAAACTATGAATTCACTGTGATTTGGATAGAAGTGTGAGGAAGAGAAATCTATAGAAGGGTAAATGTGGACGTGTCCATGTATTATGTGGCAGTTCGGGAGTAGCTTCGCCTTAATACATGATCATCTAAGTCAACACCCTTGATCGCCTATACTCAGGTGTTACAATATATATTGGTATCACCGAGTATTATTATGGAATGCTCCTGGTGATAAAAACTAGCAAGAAACAAATGATCTTGGGCCTGGGTAATTTAGACTTCGAACATCAAGCCTTCCAGTAGTTCTCGTCATCTTCTTTTGACAACAATGGCTATCCTGAAAACCCCAGGCCAAAATAGCTGGGTTCTTTCATAAAATGCGACCCAAAAATCATGTCGGCTCCTAAATCAATAACTGTCTAGACCTGGATAAGTCTGCTCTTCCCACCTCTATTCAGGTTCTCGAATACTTCACAGCCTTTAGTGGGTCTCGCCAAAGATGGCTGCTCGTATTGTTTTGGAAGTTTTCTCGGCAAGAGGCCTCAGGTGTAAGTCTCCGTAAGCTTTGCAGAAATCCGCACTGGCTTTCAAAGCACAATGCACTGGGCTCTCCATCCCAATGTTGCCTGGTATTTCTAGATAATTCATATCCTCCAAAGCTTTTAGCACGCCTTTTAGGTGGACACGCTCCACAGTCTTGTCAGACACGGATGCCTCGACGCTCATGATGTCGTTCTGAAGATCCCAAAACTCTATGCCGTTCGGGATCATGGCGTTGACTCTCGTGCATACGTTTTCATTGAGTCGCCAAAGTTGAATCTCCATGCCAAGATCCACGAAAGAAGACACACGCGTAAGTTTCCATCGTTTGCCCGTTCGGGCAAGGACCACAATATTCGGCCTGTAAAACTTGTTTCCACACCCGCATTTCTGCAAATTGGCCCTGGCGAGCCCAACAAAATACTCCCTGTCTTCCTCTTCAATAATTTTCACACTGGTGAGAGGCGTGCCTCCTCGGAGACGACCAACTTCGCCTGGCTCAGCATGCTCCAAGGCACACTCGGTGTTATTAGTCCACAAATCACACCTGATGACTTTTAGCGGATCGAGCAGAGCAGCAAACATCACGTGCTCATTGGGCCCATCTGCTCCCGTGACAAAAGGCACCCAGTTTTTATCGATCTTCTGTTCCTGCTCTCCCTCTATACGTAGTTGCCTGGTGCGAGCAAACCACTGCTCAGTGGTGGCATCCGTGTCCGCGGCCTCGATCTGTTTTCCTCTCTGAAACTGGAATGGGAGACTCATGAATATCGATCGTTTGCCCTCCACATCAGGTTGGCTCTTGTCAATATCGCTTTTCACATGAAACGCGTTGAACGTAATGAGTGGCTCTTGGTGCCCGTTCTTGTTTGTCACAAGAGTCATGCGTGGATCCTCCGCTCCCCAGTATTTGTGCACCTGGCCAATGTCAAAAGGGAGGGGGAGAATCCGGGGAAACCGGAACAGGTGAAAATGGGCGTCGCCAGTCTCAAAGCCAGGCGAGCCTTCCACGTTGTTGGTGGGGAATACCAAGCGCACGTCATCGATTTCGTTCCAGGCCTCGTCGAAAACCTGGGCAAGCAGCACGCTCAATCTGGGGTGGTCCTGCAATTCGAACTCGGATACTAGTAGTCGGGATACAACTAGATGCACGTTGTAATCCTTAAGCCACACCGAAGACCCGGAAAGCCGGTACCACGCTGTTTCGAATTTCTCCTCAACCATGAACGGCTCTAGCACCGGTATGAGATGCTGGTTATAAGTGTCACCGTATTTGAGGGCCTCCTCGCGGAAAATGTGAAATATATTAGTGAGATTGAGAGGAAGATTTACACTCTCGTCTCGAAACAACTCGGTAACCTTGCCCAGTTCCTCGCACTTTTGGTTTCGGGCCGGCCCAAACACAGTGTCTTGAGTGGAGCTGAAATTTCCTGTTTCATGGGGAGGAAGTGTTTTCACCTCTGACGCCATAAGTTGCAAGATCTTCCAGTGCTCGCTGGCTGTACCGTTTAGGTGAATGTTGAGTGTGCTTTTAGGGAAGTCAAACCCCGCTGGTAAGAGCACCGTTTTATGTTTCGCTTTTCTGATATACGCTTCCTGCGCAAGTGGGCTCGGGAGGACTTCGGTCAAGTCACCGTCGTCATAGACGAACACCAACATGGTGAACGCGGCGCATGCCAACAAACTAAGAGGTACAGAGTACTGATATGACCGACTGAGTTTCTTGAAAGCCATGTTGAGTCTGTAAATCCAATTCCTTGACAAACAAGAGAGAGAGAATAGGAGAACAGTCTAGACATGTCTTTGCAGGGAGCCAAATTCAGGGAGCCAATCTGGTATCTTGTCCGCCGCTGCTTCAGCATTCGCACGCCGGCGCATCCAGCGAGATGCAAAGTGCTACATGCAGTAACGTGTAGGTTCGGCGGGTTAAATGTCCCTTGCGCCCCGGTCTTCTCATGAGATCATTTCTTGAGAGTACTCCGCAGCTGGGCGCACAACCTAAGCCACAGTTTACCGAAAACATTTCTCGATACAGGGATCTGAAAGATTCCATTAAGAGACCAACACAGGTTCAAAACAGCTGAGTAGTGGGTGGGAAAATAGTCAGAAGAAGGAGCTCCCAAGATGCCGCCAAGAATTGTATTTAAACCTTCACTTAGTTTTTGAGCTTGGGCCACGTATGCAGACTTCGTGAATATCTGCACTCTGCAGTGAGCAAACCTAAAATGGAGGCGCCCGCCTGTCGAAGCGAGCAGCAAGCCTAAATGGAAGCAACCCGTGTATCCAAGTAACATTCTGGTGATTCCTTGACGTGTTTCTCTAGTGAGTTTTCTTCCCATCAAAAAAGAAAACAATGGGTGATCTGGCTTTCATGAACTAGAGCGGGCTCGGATTCGGTTTTCCCTTGCAAAGAAAGCTCGCATTTAGCCACCGACAATACGAGCTCGTTTAAATTCTCGGCGAACTTCTGAATGGATACGCGCAACCATGTTTTTGTTTACGATAAAGTTGAAATAGACTCTTGGTGTTTTTGTGCTTCCGGCTCTGCAGTACCAACACTACCTTGGGGGCCTATCATACTTCGTCTGATGAGACTTTTCGTAGTTGCACAAGCAGAAGTGAGATATGCGATAGTGGCATGACGCGTTTGGACCTGGAAGTCCAGATTCGTGTTTTCTCATCACGCACCCTGTGTGCGATCAACGCGTCCAGCCTGTGTTTTCTTGACGTAATGTTGGGAATCTGCCGTGAATTGCCGAATTTGTAGTATCGAGCTCGTGGTTTGCGCCCAGAAACAGACGTGTCCTCTCATTCCATGGAAATATAGTAACTGCAGTTTTCACAGCTTGTCGCCATGCGCTCTTGCCTACCGCAAAGCATTTCAACAACATTGGCAGCCCACTCGCAGCGTCTTTCAAAACAAGCTTCCTTGCGCCTCTATAAGATATCTGGAACCTTGAAACCTTTCAATCCAATCATCCTTGCGCTATTGTAAAATATATGGGACCTTAGATACCTCAAAATACTTTCAAGCTTTCCTGTGCGTCTATATGAACAGATGATGTGAACTCGGAACTCACTCACTGCAGCGGCGCGACATCATCGGTGAGCGGACCCCAGCGCCAGGCCCCAGCCGAAACAGTGGCTCGTCTGACTTGGCGGCTGCAGTCCTGCCACAACCGGCCGACTAGAGTGAAGCCTCCCAATGATGTTTCGACCGTCTCCATCAGATGCGGTGCCAGCCGGTGGCCCACGCAGGTGTCCTTGCGCAAGTGTGCTGTTGGAACCCACGGCAGTGTCTCCAGATGGAGGCCCGCGGCCCTCAGATGATGATCTCCTCGGTCTCGATGCCACAGTCAACACACCGGCGCCGCACGAGGCGGTCGTTCCCGCCAACCGCGAGCGGCGCCGACCAGTCGTGCGTGTGCCGGTCGCCCAAGCCCTGCCCGTTGCGGAGCTTGCGCGTGTACTCCTCGGCACGCGTCTTCTTCCTCATCTCCCGCATCTTGGCCTGGTAGCGCTTCTCGCGGCGGTCCAAGCGGGCCTTCTCCCGCCGCTCCCACTCGGCGTCCAAGCCCTCCGCAGACCCCCACTTCTTCCACGCGTACTCCTCCACCTGGAGCCGGAGGAAAAGCTGCATGCGCAGAAAGCCGTGCGGGTTCGGCTTCTCGATGCGCCGCAAGAGCCCCGTGTCCTGGAGCTCGGGCTCCGTGAGGAGGTAGTCCTCGCGGCACTCGGTCTTGGTCAAAAGCGCGTACTTGTCCGGCTTCTCGCGCATGCACCGCCGACACACGCGCACGTTGAAGTTGGTCTTGAGATTGGCGTCGATTTCCAAGGACTCGCACTCGACGCACCGCGGCGCAGACGACAAGTCGAGCGGCGGCGCCAAGTCCTTGACGGCGAGGTCCTGCTTCTGTTTCTCCTTCCAGTCCTTCAAGCTCTGCGGCTCCTCGTCAGGGCCTTTAAGCCCGTGCTTCTGGCTCTCGTCCAAGAACCCGCCGCGGCTGTCCTTCATGGTGGCGAAGTCGTACTCGATGTAGTCCTTTTTCTGGATCGCCGGCGGGTTGAACTCGGGCTTGAGCCGCTTGCGGTCCTGCTGCGTGACCACGGCCACGGGCCCCAATGGGCCGGACGCGTCGCGCAACGTCCGCAGCTGTTCCTTCTGGATCTGTAACGCCCGTTCTCGGTTCTGCTCGATCCGCGCCTTTTGTTCCCGCGTGAGCTCCACCCTCGGGAGCTCGGGAATACTTACGTGTTGCTGGCCGGGGCCTGTGGCGGCCTGCATGGCGTCGTGTGCCCCTCTCGCTATGGCCTGTTGCCCACTACCAACTATGGCGTCTTGCCCACTTCTAGACATGGCGTCCTGAGCGCCGCTCGATGAATTGTGTTGTGCCGAATTAGACACTTGTTGTGCCGAACCAGACATTTGTTGTGCCGAATTAGACACGTGGTGTGCCTCGCTGGAGCTGGTCTTGGCACTTGGCGCGGGAGATCCCCGGGCCCCCAAGGTGCCCGCTTTTCGCTGCTGGAGCCTTTCGAGCGCCTTCCGCCGGTTTTCGTCCTGGCTGGTCAGTACTTACAGAGGATGGTATGAGATGCCCGGCGTTTTCCGGGGCCTCGGGGAACGGCAGGTCTTTGACAGGCGTTCAATCCATCAACAACTACTGGAAACAGCTCTCGGCGCATCAGCAAACACTTGCACCGGCTGTCAAGCCGTCAGTGCGTGTTTTGAAGGCGCTTGGAGCTGGCCTGTTTTTTAGTTAAAGGTTGAAGGGCCTCGAATCCACGGATAAGTATATGAGAGGCATTATCCACATATAAGACATGAGGCATTGCCCGCATATGAGACATGAGGCATTATCCACATATAAGACATGAGGCATTGCCCGCATATGAGACATGAGGCATTATCCACTGCCCATACCGGAAAGCCCCGGTCCACGAATACCACGAATGGTCCCGGTCTACCATGGATTTCCCATCGATGAAAATGTGGGCCTGCAGCCCACCAGCAAAGGCCCAAAAGGCTCATACATACTATGCGCTTTCGTTGTTCGTCCGTGAGTCCCGCCATGGTGGCGGACCGTGGAGAATAGACACAGGCGCAAGAGCAACTGGTGGCGAGCCATGCCCCGGTCACGTGACGGCGCCGGCCCCGTCTGCAAATAATATATCGGAACATTTTTTAATTGGCGCAACATACAAAATTCGCAGCCAAGCCCGGTCCGCCTGTTCAAGCAGCTCGGAACAGCTTGCATGCTATATACCATCGGCCTCTCCGGGTAGCGGCCCCCGCCCCAAGCAGCACGCCGTAGCACCACCGTACTGTGCGGCACGTGACCCTGGGAGCACGCCCTGTCTCTTCCCACCAGCTCAGTTGTCCTTATTCAAGATCTTGTCGGCCCACTGGGGCAACACAAACGACGCCTCGTGCACCTTCGAATTGTAGTAGCGCAAGTTGTCGGCCTCAAAGTCCTCGGAAAACTTGCGCAATGGCTTCCTCACCTCGGCACTGCCGTCTTTCGAGCACACCATGAACCCAATGGTGCCCGAAGGGTAGGTGGGGATCGACGTGTATGCGTATTCAGCCACAGGGAAAATCTGCTTGCAGTCCTGCTTCAACTTGGAGATGATGTCCATGTGCAACCAGATGGACTCGGCCTGCGTGGTGATGACTCCCTTCTCCGTCAAGGCCCCCTTCAACAACTCGAAGTAGGGCTTTTGGAAAAGCGATTCGGCCGGGCCCTCGGGGTCCAGCGAGTCGGTGATGATCACATCGAACGTGTTTTGGTAGTCGGCCAAGAACTTGAAGCCGTCGCCAATATGCACCTTGGTTCTAGGGTTCTCGTAGGACTTGGACATCTCAGGCAAGTACTGCTTGGACACCTTGATGACGTCCTCGTCGATATCACACAACCAGGCCTCTTCCACCGACTCGTGCTTCAAGATTTCCCTCAAAACACCACCATCTCCGCCTCCAATAACCAACGCCTTCTTGGGGTTGGGGTGCGAATTCAAGGCCAAGTGCGTGATCATCTCCTGGTACGAGTACTCGTCTCTTTCCGTGGCCTGGATGCAGTTGTCCAACACCAAGACATTGCCCCAGTTGGTCGACTTGAACACCAAGACATCCTGGTACTTCGATCTCTGCGAGTACAAGATTTTCTCGACTTTCAACGACATGGCCGAGCCGGGCCACATGGTGTCGGAGACCTCGGCAAACCAGCCGTCCTTGATGGTGGGGTGAGTCAATTCTTGTGCCATTTTACTGAATTCACGTGCGAGAGGAAAAGAGGAGGGGGGCCGGAGCAGGCGATGCATGGCGAGATCACTTTTTTTATTTAATTTTTTCCAAGACTGCAAATTGCGTCGCCGATAGCTCTTTTCGCCGCAAGACCGCCCAATCGGGCAGGTCGAGGCGCGCCGCCTCGGCCCACGGGGTGCGTGCTAAAACACAGTGATGGACGGATAGGGCCTGATGCTGTACTCGGCTTCCGCCCAGATTTGATGATGGTGTTTTTGAAGGGATTATATGGAATTCTGAAGACGTTGTGCCCACTGTCGAAGTCACTCGTACTGGTCGTCTGTGCAGTACATGGGCTAGGGCACGTGTGTGCAGGCTAATTATGATAGTCTAGGCCATGTCATGTTTTTAAAAAATTGTTCAAATCCTACAAACTACCGCTGGCTTAACTCCAAGTATAGATGTGACCTAGGTCATTTTGGCGCCGTAGAATTCTCTATTACTAGCCTCTACCGGTTGGACCCAACCCCTAATCTGTGTACTGCACGCCTTGGGAAGTAAATAAGCAGCGTTGTTCGTCAAAAAATAAAAATCGCTAATTTTTGTCGGTTCCTTACAAGTCCATATTACCTTATGTTCGGAGTCATAAGTAGCTCAAATGGCGCATAAGTATCTATTTTGCTTTTTGAATGGCTGACACCGCCTTAAAGATTCACTTTCTCTTCGCGGCAGAGTAATTTGTCTGCTACCCAAACATTTCGATCAGCTCGTACCTTCTTTGGTATCAGTTAGATGCAAAACCTCTGACCTAAGGATTTGCAAATTCATAATGTAGCCCCACCCCCACATTTATATATGTAGTGTCTCAATAAAAGAGCGATTTCATTGTGTAAGACTTCAAAGTTCACAATGGTACTTGATGCCACAGTTCGGCATCAAAGCTCAACTTTCATATACTATATACTATACATGCCTGCTTTGAACGACTCTTTTAGTGAGTTTATGTTTTCATTCTGAAGAAAGAAATTAGTGCCGACTCTCCTAGTGTTACACATTTACTTATTCTTTGATATACTTTATAGTTGAATCATGATGAAGCCAGTAAACTAAGTACCCATGTTTCAAAGTCAATAATTCAGGTCACAAAATGTTCTTCTGACCAAATACTGACACCTGTATAATAGTGCAAAACAAGTCAATATGGCTTCCACTCTACGTGTTAAATCTTCGAAATCAAGACAAAAATATAAAATATACCTTACAAACTACTCGTCAAATTCTAATGCATACATGCACTTTCGTAGGTTCTCGAGACCGCCTATTTCAGTCAAGGACCTAAAGATTTAACGGCGGCTTGGACAGACAACATATAATTCGAAATTGAAATGATCCAGAGTGTACTCCTCCCATAAATCTGCTTTATATATGGCTTTCCAAAAGTGTTTTCATCGTTTGTTCTAGCGGGGCGAGGCGTTTTTTGTTTTTTTGGTAGCTTTATCTGAATAACGGATTTAAACTATACAAATAATATGTATAAAAACCTTTTTATAACTCCCATCTACGTACCAAGTGTCGGAACTCCGCCCGCTCCCTTCCGTTAACCACGGCCTGGACGGTCCTCTTGGCCCGTATCTGTTCACGTATTGGATATAATGTCATCGACTCCTAGGATAAGTCTCCTGTAGCAGTCGTTTCAATCTGATTTAGTGTAGACTTGAGGAGTGAACTTAATGTGACTCCCCACGCCTTCGAGTGTATACCTAGAAAATTGTGGTGATGAACCATTTTTTTTTTTTTTTTTGGTTAGATTCATCTGATTAAAGGGGCAAAACTATATAACGAATATATATAAAAAACCTTTAAACAGCTCCCAGCTACGTACCAAAGTTCCTGATTGCTTCTTGTACCCTATTATTGCCCCTTTTTGGTAGCTGTAACTCATAATTACGGGTATAGCGATTTAACAAATAAATTATAAATGCTCAAAATGTTGTATAATTTTGGTCTTTTTTCTTTGTTTGACGGCTTCAAAAGCATATAATTCAACAAGGGCCTGGCTAGCTCAATGGCTAGAGCGTGAGACTTTTAATCTCAAGGCTGCGGGTTCGACCCCCGCGTCGGGCTTTGTTTTTTTAGATTTTTGTGCGAAAAGTTGAAGCTTATTCAGAAATGATCAACATCCATTTCGAATCATAGAACAAACTATGTTGGAGAAGCACAGCTTCATTCATTTTATTTTCCTCTTGAGGTCTAGAATCACTGAAAGCAGCATGATTGCACATACCAAACTATTGTTCTACAGTGGATCAGTTCTAACATGAATAAATTATGAGATAGACGCGTATATGACATGAAATGGATGGCAAAGCTTACTTCTTGACAGAAGCCATCTTGTTCAAAGCAGAACCAGCCTGGAACCATCCGATTTGCTCGGCGTTGTAGGTGTGGGATAACTCAGTCTCCCAAGCCTCACCCTCCTTAGGGTGAACTCTCAAGATAAGGTTCTTACCTGGAGTGAGCTCAGTCAAGCCAACAATGTCGACCTCATCCTCTGGGTTAATCTTGTCGTAGTCAGCAACGTTGGTGAAGTTCAATGGCAACAAACCCTGCTTCTTCAAGTTCGTCTCGTGGATACGAGCGAAAGACTTGGTAATGATAGCGAAACCACCCAAGAATCTTGGCTCCAAAGCAGCGTGCTCTCTGGAAGAACCCTCACCGAAGTTCTCGTCACCAATGACAACCCAAGTCTTACCTGCGTCTCTGTAGTCAGCAGCAGTCTCTGGGATGCCCTTGTAAACACCAGTGTAGTGGTTCTTGACATTGTTGACCTCACCGTTCTCGGCGTTAGTGGCACCAATCATGTAGTTGTTGGAGATGTTCTCCAAGTGACCACGGTACTTCAACCATGGACCGGCCATAGAGATATGGTCAGTGGTGGTCTTACCAACAGCCTTGATCAAGATTGGCAATCTCTCGGCGTCCTTACCGTTCCATGGCTTGAATGGAGTCAAACGTTGCAATCTGTCGGAAGATGGGGAGATGACAACCTGAACAGAAGATCTGTCAGATGGAGGAGCTTGGTAAGTGTTCTCACCCTTGTCGTAACCGTTTGGTGGCAAACCGACACCAACTGGCTCAGACAACTTGAACTCCTTACCCTCAGAGTCCTTCAAGGTGTCAGTGATTGGGTTGAAGCCCAAGTCACCGGAGATGGCGTAGGCGGTAACCATGTCTGGAGAAGCGACGAAAGCATGAGTGGCTGGGTTACCGTCGTTTCTGGAAGTGAAGTTTCTGTTGAAAGAAGAGACAATGGTGTTCTTGTCACCCTTCTTGATGTCCTGTCTGTCCCATTGACCGATACATGGGCCACAAGCATTGGCCATGACGACACCACCGAAGTCCTCAAAAGTCTTCAATTGACCGTCTCTGGCAATGGTGGCTCTGACTTGCTCGGAACCTGGAGAGATGGTGAAGATGGACTTAGAGCTCAAGCCGTGCTTGGCAGCATCCTTGATGATAGAGGCGGATCTGGTCATGTCCTCGTAAGAAGAGTTGGTACAAGAACCAATCAAACCGACCTTAACCTCCATTGGCCAGCCGTTGGCAAGGGCAGTCTCTCTCATCTTAGAGACTGGGGTAGCCAAATCTGGGGTGAATGGACCGTTGATGTGTGGCTCCAAGGTGTTCAAGTCGATCTCGATGACTTGGTCGTACTCACAACCCTCGTCAGCAGACAAGTAGTCCTTCTTGTAGAGTTGAGCAAAGTCAGCGATCTGGGATCTGCCAGTGGCGTTCAAGTAGTCGGCCATGGAGTTGTTGAATGGGAACACGGAAGTGGTAGCGCCAATCTCGGCACCCATGTTACAGATGGTACCCATACCGGTACAGGAGAAGGTGTCGACACCGTCACCGAAGTACTCGACGATAGCACCAGTACCACCCTTGACAGTGGTGATACCAGCCAACTTCAAGATGATATCCTTAGGAGAGGTCCAGCCGGACATTCTACCGGTCAACTTGACACCAATGATCTTTGGAGCCTTCAACTCCCAAGCCAAGTCAGCCATGACGTCGACGGCATCAGCACCACCGACACCAATGGCCAATTGACCCAAACCACCAGCGTTTGGTGTGTGCGAGTCAGTACCAATCAACAAGGCACCTGGGAAAGCGTAGTTCTCCAAGACGATCTGGTGGATGATACCCGAGCCTGGCTTCCAGAAACCCAAGTTGTACTTGGCACAGGCAGAGCCCAAGAAGTCGAAGACCTCCTTGTTCAAGTCAATGGCTCTGGCCAAGTCCTTGACACCACCAACTTGAGCTTGAATCAAGTGGTCACAGTGGACGGTGGATGGGGTGGCAACCTGAGGCATACCGGCAGACATGAACTGCAAAATGGCCATCTGGGCGGTGGCATCTTGACAGGCGACTCTGTCTGGTCTCAACTTCAAGTAGGAGACACCTCTCTCGATTTCTTGCTCGTGAGGCTTGTCCAAGTGACCGTACAACAACTTCTCGGCGTAGGTCAAAGGTCTGTTCAATCTCTCCTTGACGATGTTGAGGTTCTCCAACTGCTTCTTGTACTGGATGAAAGAGAAGTCCTCCAACAAGTTTTGGTGGACCTTGGAGTCTCTGGTGAGGCCTGCGGTGGCAAGTCCGCGCACGGAGCTTGGGATCTTAGCAATGGATCTTCTGGATGCAGACAACATTGTTGAAAAAAGAAGTAGGAAAAGAGCGACCCGGCGATCCGCGCCTGTTATATAATATTTTTCGCGAGACCTGGAGAAGGGTGCGCGTGCAGCCAATAACAGCGTGGAAATTTGTAAAGAAAAAACACGACTTCCGAGGGTGCGATCGCAGGCCGTGCCCGAGGAATGGGGTTCTTGTGTGCAGGCGAGAACTCACGTTGCGGAGCCCGGCGGCACGCCAGTGTTGTAAATCCAGCACCCGCCACTTTTTTCGACTTCATGGCAGAGTTGGATTTCGGGGAGCGGGATCTGTAAAAGATACTGTGAGGGCTCGGAAGTGCCACTTTTTTTGTGCTTGCATGCAGCCATGTGCAATCTGTGGCTCAGATGCTTGTTTCTTAATGTAGTATAATTGTGGGGGTATTCCTGCCCTGACCACCCTTCACCCGAAAGCATGTCCAGGGTGCGTGGTTCGGTGCCCTCGGATCTCACGTCAGCTTCTCCAGGTTTTGAACTCCGGCGCCGCGATCGCACGACTTCTCATTGGCTGTGCGCCCTCGGATCCGACAGCCGGTGCCGTCTTGTGTGTCCTGCATGAACGGATGGGTGAGACCTGTTCGGACTTTGGCCAGAGGAGCAGCGTCGCATGATTGGGGCCACAGCGAGCGATCCGTATAGTATGAGTAGTTGGTGACCTCGGAATCCCTGGTGATGAATACGGGTAATTCTTGAATTTCACAAGTGGCTTTTTTTTTCATATAGACGCAATCATGTTTTACGGTTGTAATAAATGCCTAATTCTGTCACGTGCTGCCCTGACATATGAGGCGTCTCTATTCGCTGGGTGCTAATAGATCGGAAGTGCTCACATTAGGCAGAGGGTAGGCAATGGAAAGGCAAGAGAATAGAATTTAGACTTGAATTTTGTTGTCCAAAGTGCACCAATGCGTAAGTTGTAATTTTTGAAGAGAATCACGTGTATATCGAATTTCTAATTTGCGGGTTTTTCGTGAGGATTTACAAGAAATTGCTAAAATGTGGCCCACTGTAAAAGCCGCAAAATGAAAACAAAGTTTAAAAAAAGCATCTCTCCGGTAACACAACTTCAGGCTTTCTGAAAACAACTCTAACAAGTACTGTGATGTATTTTGGAAGACAGGAGTTGGGCCGCAAGTTTGGTATTGTTGTAAAGTGATGCGCAGTCTGACCATCTGGTGTCCAACGCACGTTGCCAACGATAGACCTGACCTCAGAGAAAATCACACATGGGCTGGTTCCAGGGGCTCACCATGTAAGTATTTTCTTATCTAGCCATGTGACTTATTTGAGCAGCAAACGGGTGCTCAGACTGCCCAAAACAAGCACAACTCAATGTCGGCAAGTGGGTATTGTGAATTTCGTTCATAAAATTGCATTTCATATGGTCTGTGAATGTGAATCTTAAAGTACGTTTTATGTGGTTTGCAATTTCAAATCGTATGTCGTTTTGTTTAGTTCGTAATTTCAAATCCAATACGCCTCATATGGATTGCTTATATGAGTCGAGTTCTCCTGGACTATTGAGCATGTATACGGGGTGTCATGCAAGAGGAAGGAAGAACGCGCTGATTGAAATGGCCACTCTACGAAGGTTGCGGCAATTCCATTCAGATACAAACCAAAAGTAGACTGGATCGTCCATTCAGGAACTTGGAGGGGTAGGATTCTTGACCCGGACCCGCAGTAACCTGATCTTCAAATTTTTCATAGTGTACTTCAATGGTAGAGTCTCAAACTTTTCAAGAACCATTTGCAAAGAATGGGAAAATACTATTGAATAGGACTGGATTGGCACTGACCAGAGATTTCCCCGGGAAGCTTTCCATGGTATCTTCCACCTATTTCCTCTGCAGCTTCTATGAAGACACGAATTCAACGATCTCTCAAAAGAATCAAGGTAACTAGCAGAGACAAGGCTCGCGTGCTTGGTCTGTTTGCAAGCGATCTTTGACAAAGGCATGTTGTTCCACTAATAACGATATGCTCATGCGATGAACAGCTGTACACTGGAAGGACACTGTACACGAATCCCCTCCAACCAGGGCACCAAAATTTATACATCAGACTCTGGAGTATATAGCTGAGACACTCATTTCAGCATCGGGACGTATTTATCTGGGCAATGCAGATACCATGGGTTCCAGGGAATTTCTAACTTCTAACCACGCACAAAGGAAGCTCCCCATAAGCTGGCCTCGAGCTGAACAGTGGTGCGTTCCAAAAGACCACAAGAAGCTCTTCCCAAAATTTATATCAGCACATTCCGAAGACAGAACCAGCCACTTACCTGAACAATAATATATTCTTGGAATCTTTCCGTGCTTGGAGCGCCTGCCGAAAAACAGACTATATAAGCTCTCACTCCGCGGTTTGGCGACTCTTCCATATATCTGCTTCTGCTAATTTTCATCGCAGAGAACAGCGCCAACTACCCTCAAATCATAGGGCATATATCTGCCCGGGACCCTCAATTCATTGTGCGCTCGCAGAATCTCTGCGGCCAAAAAACGACACAATTCCTCAGCCAGCCTGCTGCCCTCGCACCATTAATAAACACCCATTGTTCACCTAGAGCAGGTCGATACTGCCCAGCCACATCATTGTATCCTCTGCTCTTCCCTTAATTATTGCCGCTTTGACAAATGCCCAGGTGAACCGATTGCGACACGTCTGGTTGTTCACCGGATCTCGAGCTCGCCAGCAGGTGGCCTCTTCTATTTATGGTGTTTTGTATTTATAGGCCTCACTTTGGTCAGCTGCCTCGGGTGTGTCATCATTTTGCAGCCGCGCGTTCTTCGCCTAAATTTGACACCAAATTGCGACTCTACTTTTTTTTTGCCATCGGCCGGTGCGGCTCTGGCAATCGCATTTTCCACTATGGTTTATCAGGCCGCACCGACTGGAAAATTGAAGCGAGGCACATTTTCGGCGCAAAAGGCACAACGGCACAACAAACTCGGAATTCTTGGACAAATTTTCCTTGCCAATCTACCAAAGCCGCTTAATTTCGTTAACTAAGGCAAAATGGTGCCCGTGCCGCCGCCGCAGTGTGGCTTCCAGGCACTCTTGCTGCCTCTCATACATACGCAAGAAAATGCCTTCAATCCTTGTTTTCTATTGTTATTGGTGCTGACATGGGGCACGCTTCTTGGCGCTGTCACGTGCGTGGTGCTCTTCAGGTACTTGCAAAAACCCAGCTACGGCCCCTTGGCCGCCAAGAACACAGGGCTTTTCCACTGGCTTAGATGCTCGTTGGTGGTTCTCCACACCTTCTGTTGGGCCCGGCTTTTCTGGGCCGTATCCTTGGTCGAGCGTCAGGCAGACTCAAAAATCATCTCTGTTTCTATATTAACGTTTGTGTCTGCTTTCGTCGTGGCTCCTTTGCACTTTATCGAGACCACGCGTTCGCTCATTCCCCTGGGCCCTTTGCTTGTGTTCTGGCCCGGGATGGCTGTTCTTGATTTGATGCTTTGGTTCCAGGATCTGCACACCCAGTGGCCTGTGTTTCTTTTCGAGCTGGGCCCGTTCTGGGAAGCCGTGGCCCTTGTGGCTGCGTTGGCAGTTTCCTACTTGGAATCGTCCAGATCCACCTGGGTGCCGTCTCATCTGCTTCTTTTCCACCTTCAGGCCTCACCACATCCAGCGTCGTCTCGCCCGCCGCACTTCTTGGAGAAAATCACGTTTTCGTGGATGAACCCGCTAGTTACAAACTCACTCAAGAACCAGACAGTGCTGTACCAGGATCTTCCCGAAGCCCCTGCGCACCTCACCACAGAAAACTACACTCGGAGCCTCCAGAGGCATCTTGACCACTCACAGAAGAAGTCCACGTACGCGTTATTCTTGGCAATAATGAAAGCGTTTGGCCCTGTCGCCGCCGTCTCATTCTCGTACGAAGCCTGCGACTCGTTGTTGGCCTTCGTGCAGCCCCAGCTTTTGCGTTTGCTTATCTTGTTCATGGGTGACAAGATCAAAGATCCGCTGGTCCCCATTCTCCGAGGCTTTCTATTGTGTTTTGGAATGTTCATTGTGACTTTGGTGCAGACCGTTTTCAACAACCAGTACGTGCTCAAGGTTTTGGAGGTTGGCCTCGGCTGCCGGTCTTCGTTGACTTCGTTGATCTTCCAGAAATCGATCCGTCTTTCTGCTCACTCTCGTTCCGAGCGCTCCTCGGGGGATATTGTCAATCTTGTATCCATCGACGCTCCCCGCGTCCAAACATGCGCACAGGAAATCAGCACTCTCATCATTGCTCCCGCGGAATTGGTTTTGAGTATATGGTCCTTGTACAAACTTCTAGGCAAGTCGGCGTTTGCAGGGCTATTCGTGATGCTTGCCTTTGTTCCCGTCAACACGTTTTTTGTCCGATACCTGAAAAAGCTCAACAAGGTGCAGATGAAGTTGAAAGATAACAGGAACCGGATCACAAACGAAATCCTTGTGTCGATGAAGTCAATCAAGCTCTATTCTTGGGAAATGCCCATGTTGAAGCGTCTTTTCGAGGCACGAAACGAGAAGGAATTGAAAAACTCCAAGAAGATTCGTATTGTGAACCAGTGCGGCAGCTTGATATGGACGACAATGCCTTTCCTCGTATCTTTCCTGACCTTCGCAATCTTTGCCTTGGTGGAGAACAGACCTTTGACATCTGAGATTGTATTCCCGGGCTTGACTTTGTTGAACATCCTATCGCGCCCTATCTTGCTGTTCCCGTCTGTGATCACATATATCACGGAGGCAACCGTAGCGTTAGAAAGAATCTCAGCATTTTTGTCGGCTCCAGAAGTGGACCCCAATTTGATTGAAGTTGGTTCCGGTGAGGGTCGCGAATCACTCAACATAAAAAATACGTCTTTCCTTTGGCAAAAATCCCAATTAGGCAACCCAGTATCTGAAGAAACTGAGTTCACTGGTCACAAATATGCCTTGTATGGTATTAACATGACAGTCAATAAGGGCGACTTTGTCTGTATCGTTGGGAGGGTGGGCGCCGGAAAATCATCTTTTTTGTCCTCAATACTCGGCCAGCTTGACGCAGTTGACTCTCTCCATCCTTCTCTGCTACCTCGGCCGCTTAGATTAGGTGGATCCGTTGGATACTGCTCACAAAACCCTTGGATCATGAACGCTTCTGTGAAGGAAAATATTACGTTCGGCCACAGATTCGACGAAGACTACTATCAACAGACTATCAGAGCGTGTCAACTTTTATCTGATCTCAAGATTCTACCTGATGGAGACGAAACGCAAGTCGGTGAAAAAGGTATATCTCTTTCAGGTGGCCAAAAGGCACGCCTATCTCTTGCGCGTGCCGTTTATGCAAGAGCTGACATCTATCTATTGGATGATATTTTGAGTGCTGTGGACAGTCATGTGGGCAAGAACATTATTTCCAGGGTTCTCACAAAGAGCGGACTTCTCTCAGGGAAGACTATCATTTTTGCAACCAATAACATACCTGTATTGGAACATGCAGACAAAATCTACTTGTTTGAAAAAGGGACAATTACTGAACAGGCACCTTTCGACGAAGTAAGACTGAGTGCTTTGTACCCACAACTTAGTACTCTTGTTTCAGAATATGGGAATTATTCCTCTCGTTCGCAGTCGCCAGAAACAGGAGAAAGTGAAGATGAAGAATTAGCAGACGATATTCAGTCCCGAACCAATCGGAAGGCGAGCTTGGCTACATTCAAGTGGGACCCATTCAAGGAGAAAACAACCCGAAGGACTGGAAACACATTGGAGACCTCCGCGAAAGGGAAAGTTGACAGGGATGTCTACATCAACTATATTAAAGCATGTTCGATTTCCGGAATGTCACTTTGGGTCGGGCTTTTTGTTTTGGCCACTATTGCTTCCATTTCGACCAATTACTGGCTCAAAAGATGGACCGAGGCAAACTCCAATATCGGAGATAACACCCTGGCACTTCATTTCATTGCCATTTACGCGGTATTGGGGTTCACAACAAGCGCTCTCAACTTGCTAAAGGGCTTGGTGTTTTTTGTGTTCATGAGTATCCGAGGCGGGCGGAAAATCCACGATCGAATGGCTACAAGATTAATGAAGGCTCCGATGAACTTCTTCGAAAGAACGCCAGTGGGCAGAATCATGAACAGATTCAGCAATGATATCAACAAAGTTGATAGTGCCTTACCACGGTCATTAAATGTTTACATGGGATCTCTTTTGAGTACAGTATCTACCATTGTTGTTGTTGCATTGGCTTTGCCTGCTTACTTGGTAGTTGTTGTGATTCTTGGGTTTGTTTATGGTTACTATCAGAAGTACTATATCTCGGTTCAACGAGAGTTGAAAAGACTTGTTTCGATTTCAAGATCGCCAATATTTGCTCATTTTCAGGAAAGTTTAAGTGGCGTGGAAACAATCAAAGCATACCAGCAGGAGGACCGCTTCAATTTGATCAACAACGCAAATGTTGACTTCAACATGAGAACACTATTCATGTTAAGGTCCATTAATAGATGGCTTTCTGTGAGGCTTCAGTTCATAGGATCCCTCGTTATCTGGACTTCTTCAACTATGCTCATCTACAAGTCTACCACGGCATCGCCCATTAGTGCTGGAATGGCAGGTTTTGTGATGAGTTATGCACTCCAAGTGACAGATACATTCAAAAAAATGGTTAGGATGTCAGCGGAGGTCGAGGCTAACATTGTGGCTGTCGAGAGATGTCTTGAATATTGCAAGTTACCAACAGAGGAAAACGAGACCGATGCTTTGCTAGAAGCCCCGGCAAATTGGCCCAAACAAGGTGCGATTGACATCCACAACTACTCCACGAGATATGCGAAGAATTTGGATCTCGTTTTGAAAAACATCAGTATTTCAGTGGAATCTGGGGAAAAAGTTGGGGTGGTGGGACGGACTGGAGCCGGCAAGAGTTCCCTCGTGCTTGCCCTTTTCCGAATGATTCCTCCAGTGGATGGATCTATATTTGTTGATGGTATTGACATTACAAAGATTTCGCTTTTCAATCTCAGGCACAATCTCAGTATCATTCCCCAAGACTCTCATTTGTTTGAAGGCACATTGAGACAGAACCTTGATCCGTTTGAGGAGTACAGTGACGCTAAACTATGGGAGGTGCTCGTCCATGCAAAGTTGAAGGAAACAGTAGAGGAATTGGGCGAAGGGCTTGACAGCCTTGTGAAGGAGGGAGGGTCCAACTTTTCGGCTGGGCAAAGACAATTAATGTGCCTTGGACGGGCACTCTTGAATCCATCCCGGGTGCTTATGTTGGACGAGGCCACTGCAGCTGTCGATGTGCAAACAGACAAAATCATCCAGAGCACAATCAGGACCGAGTTCAAGGAGAAAACCATCGTGACGATTGCGCATCGGCTTGATACTGTGATGGACTGCGATAGAATATTAAGCTTGGACCACGGGGAGGTCAAGGAGTTTGATACTCCAGCAAACCTTCTCAAAGATCCGACCGGAGTTTTCTACAACTTGTGCAAGCAAGGGAACTACATCTAGGGGGCTGGGTGAAAAGCCATACGGGATCACAATGTGCCAATATTTTCGCGATTTTTGGTTCTAGGGCCCCAGAGGTCTATGGTTTGGCTGAAGCCGCGCGGCCCGCAGAGCCTAAGAGCAAGGGCGACGCCAACTCCGCACTTCCTGCGCACACGGTCCAAAAAAATGGGTGCTTGGTATCCGAATGGCACCTCGCGAGCCTCACTCCCAAATACAAGTTTATTTGCAAACATGGCAGCCAGCGCACAACAAGTATCGAAGTTTTCTCGGTACCTCCAGTCAGAAACCGGCCCTAAGACAGTGCATTTCTGGGCGCCCGTGTTCAAATGGAGCTTGGTTATTGCTGGTCTCAATGACATCCAGAGACCCGTGGAGAAGATCTCGGGCACGCAGCAGCTCGCCTTGTTTTTCACCGGCGCGATTTGGACTAGATGGGCCGGTTTTGCCATCACGCCCAAGAATTACTTGTTGGCCAGTGTCAACTTCTTTCTTGGCGGCGTTGCCGGCTACCAGCTTATCCGTGTAGTTAACTATAGACGCGCGGAGGGCGACAGTCCGGCACAAGTTTTCAAGTACCTTTTCAAGTGAGGCCGGAGAAAGGCGTGAGTGGAACAGCCAGTCTGTTTATACCTATGTAAAACAATATATTTATGATCACAAGGGGAACCTGCTTCATATCGACGCGTGTTGTTTAATCTAGCACCATATCTTCCTGCTGATGACTGGGGTCTCTCGTCGTCTCTTGGAACTCGTTGTCTTCTGCCAGGAGCTCCTCGCTTTTTTGAGCATGATGAGGTTTTCCTTCAATATTGACATCATTGCTTTCCTCTGCGGGCTCTCTCATCTCGGCATCGACTACCGCAGTATCCACATCTGCCAGTTGGTCGTCCAACTGGTCGGTTTCTGTCTCCGGATTATGGATATTCTTAGGGATTTCCGCTGTGTCAGCAGTTGCGGCGTTTCCGGCATCGTTCTCAGATTCTTGTTCATGATCGACCAACTCACTCCCGCTTTCCAAGTCCATGTCTTGCCCCTCAATATCTGCCATATCCAAGTCCTTCTCATTTTCGTCCTCTCCATTTTCATCCTCTCCATTTTCATCCTCTCCATTTTCATCCTCTCCATTTCCTCCATTTCCTCCATTTTCTCCATTTTCTCCATTTTCTCCATTTTCTCCATTTTCTTCATCCACTTCATTTCCTTCATTCTCTTCATTTTCTTCATTCTCTTCATTTTCTTCATTTTCTTCATCCTCTTCGTTCTCTTCACCCTCTTCGTCCAAATCCTCCTCGTAGTACTTCAAATCTTCGTGTTCGCTGGCCTTGATTTTCTTGATTTCCTCGTGCACTGCACCGAAATCTCTTGTCAAGAACAGATTGAGTTTGGCGTCTCGTGAGGCCCACTGGGTGTTTTTTGCGGTCAAGCGGGCTTTGGCTCGAAGAAGCACCTCGTGCTTGATTTGCAAAAGCATGCGGAGCCTGTACTCCAAGTTGACGAGACGATTGAAAACAGAGAAAGATGGAGGGGGCAACTTTGACTCAGCATCCAAGGAAAAGAGCATTTTCACAGGCACTTTGCTTGGGTACTGGCCGCTGGCGTCTTTTTCGAGTCTGCTGAGGAGGACTCCACTTTCGAACTGCTCAATTGTCTGAATGGAGAAGTCAAAAGCTGGAATCTGGGTGTTTTTTCTTAGCTCTTCATACGACGTTTGCAGAGACTCGAAGTCGCTGTACAAGCGAGCCATTTCGGCGTATTTCTGGTTATAGGGGATGACCTCAAGCTGCACAAACGCAAGCTCACGAGCATTTTCCCTCTCCTTGAAATTTCGGTGGAATCTCTTGACAGTAAATGAATCAAGAAGGACCTGTTTTTGGGCCTTCGAAAGCAGGTTGGAGTCCACTTCTCTGGTCGAGGCCAGTCTTTCAATTTCAGATAGAAGACTGGAAAGTGAGCCTAGACTCTGCCGGGACTTCTCGGCAGCAGAAAGAAGCGATTCCTTGCTGGCATTGTCCAACATTGTATGAATTAGGTATGTAGAAGCGAGAGGATAAGATCCAGGAATCTGGAAAGAGTTTGGGGAGTCGAGCTCGGGTTGCGAGTCCTAGCAAATATGGACACACTTATGAATGTCCACCAAACTTTTGAGGGAAAAGGGCTTGTTGATAAAATCTTCCTGTTGATTTCAGGCGAGGTGTTTTGTTGAGTATTTCTGTATGGAATGAGAGGTGCGAGGCGAGCCATGGTGCGAAGAGTAGTCCACGAAATGTATTTCCGGCTGCGAAAAATATAAAGCTTTGCAGTAACCATGTAGTCAAGTTGGATATAACGCAATGGGCTTGGGAAAAAATGGGCTGTAGGGTGTGAATCTTATTTTTCTACTGACCATGCATTCACCTACTTTGAAAGGCATCATTTTGAGTTTGTGAGCACGGCCAGAAATGCAAAATGAAGACTGTTAGTTCGTCTTCGCGGGATGCTTAATTTTCAAGCCTAAAGAATGTGAGGGAAGGAATTCATAAATGCACGGACGGCCAGGTTTCGAGTCACTGAAGATTAACTGGCACTGCGGGGCCCAATCCTAGTTCACTGAATTGCAGATCCACGCGAATACATTGATCCCTGACCCTGATCTTGGGTCTTGAATGAACGAAGACTGAAATAGCTATTATCACATAAGTGGGAACTTGATAAGCTTTTTGGATTATTGCATCAAATATGAAGATACCAGTCTGAGACTATAAATGTTTTCCGACGAGGCCAATTGCTTCAGATAGTTTGACGCAAGATATCTCGAATTATCAATACAACATGCAACTATTCCCATTAATTGTCACCAATACAGGATTATCATGGAGATTAAAAAAATCATGATTGAATTAGCTATCTCTGTTCCTCAAAAAAATCCAGAATTACTTTAGGATATAGTGAGACTATTCAATGGAAATGTTGGAATATGTGTAGACGAACCCTATTTGCACCTTTGAACCAAAAACAAATTTACAACTGCGGAGCCGAGTTAAAAAAACAAGCACTGAGAACAAATCGGCGGCTTCTGTTATTTCTAAAGAATCAAAAAGTCCCAGGAAATTACTTTTGGTTATATTTCTCATTTGTAGTCTTTAAAGCTAAAACAACTTAGTTAACACATCTCAATCTTCACGCCATTTAATTCATCACCAATGACCCGGGAAATTTGATGCGGGCATCGTTATTATGTACATACCCACATACTGCCTCAATATCATAGTTATTTCAAAAGGGAAAAAGCCAGGTCGCACATTTACTTAACAGAACAGAATTGTGGCTGTGTGGACTCTATTCGAAGTGAAAAAATGCGGCCAATCCCAAAATCTTTATCAGAGAATATCATTTGCTTGATCAAACGTATATTACATTATACTTGCACTAGGGTGAGACCTCCCATTGACTTTCTTTCGTACTCTCCCCCAAATTCTAGAAAAGCCTGCCCAGCAAAGACTGTAGGCCTTGAAAATCATGAAAAGATGAAATATGCACTATGGGCCAGTTGAAAGTTTCATTGTCCATGTTTCATAATATAATTGAATCAATTATCGTAAATAAGAAATCACAAATTGACAGCCTGTCTGAGGTGCCATCCCAGCTGTTCTCTCAGACTTCTCTTCACTGAATTAGCGTTATGAGCTTGATAATATTAGGCTGTTGTCTTCATTTCCTGAAAAATTTGCCTCACAGTACATCACTGAATTGCTTTGCGTACTAACAGCTCAATTTGCAACACCTACGCACTCTAGCCGTTTCACCCCATGACCTATTTGATTAGCACCGTTTGTCATCACAAATATCTACTCGATCCAAAATTCCGCCTGCACACTTTCATCGGATACCAATATCGAGCGTTATAATCGTCTACTACTTCAAACAATACAGCTGGAGTCAGTCAATCAGCACAAATTACTGAAAAATGCTATCAATTTTCATTATCAGTCACTCAATCGATCACAAGATTAAGTCACTTATCTGAATTGTGTAATACATCACATCAATACTACAGTATATTACTCAATTGTTTACTGTAACTCATCACTACAACTGGACACCTGTATCGAAAATTACTATCAATCACTTAATCCGTCACCACAATTAATTAATTACCACAATGCGTCATTACATTCAAGCATACTTCTACACCTCACCATTCAATCCTCTTATTCCACACTATATATTACCATCCAGTCCAACCTTTATACTCAATGGACTGTAATGATGCATTGTGGAGAAATATCAATTTGCTCTTCATCCAACCAGAATTCTTTTTCCAAGCATGACAAGTTCTCGTGCTTCTTTCCTTTTATACTCATATAATGGGTTAGCTTCCTCATGAATTTTGCTTTAGAGTTGTTTTAGATCACGTGTCTGATGATAAGGGTACAAAAAACATAAGCCTATGATTCCAGTATCTTGGCTTGTATAAGGGTTTTTTTTGAGATCATCGAAACAATAGCTGGAGATTAAGTCCGAATTCCAAATACTTTTACAAATTTCTCGTTGCATAGGAAAATCTCAGATTTAGGCTCTCAAACATGTCTTTATCTATCACACGGCAAAATGCTTTACTGCATTTTGTATGCTGCTGAACCTACTTGCTCACACATTTCAAAATAGCTCTGGGTTTGATACTCTGAAGATCAAATGTTCTTCCATGCTGACAATAAAATTTGCTAGTCTAAGCCCTGGTTGGGCGAAAAATCAAAAGTCAAAGAAATTTTGGCACTTGGCGAAAATTATAGACGAGAGGAAAAGCTCACAAAAAAGTCGTGGAATTGAGCAATTAAACTGAAGCAATTATAGCACACAACTAGACATGAACTCTTCTCTACGATTTCAGCTTTCAGCAGCGGTAAAATTTTTTCTTAACTACGCACCTAGTAACAACGATTCGTATCTTTTTTCAACACAAGTGCGAAGTACCTTGTTCGCAAAGACAACAAAAGAACAAATAAAATATAACAAAAAAATAACCTCTGGGACTCAGTAGTTGGTATCATCAACGTTGATATTATCGCTGGGAAAACCAGAAATGCTCCCAATTGTCAAAGACTAAGAGGAGGGACGCGTAGTGGGCACTTTAGGAAACTCAGTTACACATCTGCATTTGGATGGGCGGCTTGCTCCCAAAACACTCATCCAGTACTGCAATGTACTGCCATAATCATCCAGCAGCAAACGAAAAGCAGCACCCCAATACCCTTTGCCAATGTTTAGAGTGATGATCGGCTCGGCTGTCCCGAAAATTGATAATATGCCTGTGTCTTCAGAATACACGAGTTTTTCAGTGCTTTCAATAACAGTATCAAGTATGATCTTGTTGTCTTCACTCCAACCCACAACTTCGATTGAGGGAATAGTAGCCAAGGGCGATTTCAATCCAGAAATTCTGACTTCTGAGTCAGACTCCAAGTAAATAATTTGGTCAAATGGACTGATGTAATCGTAATACCTGAGCAGAAAGTCTAAAATCGAACCAGTGCCCACAGTAATACAGCCATGCTTTTCGATGTTCTTAGGTATCTTCCAAGAAGTGTTATACAAGCAGATGGATCCGGAATTTTTGAGAATGGAATGTCGGTGTGTTGTTGACCCCAAGTTCAATTGAAGTTTATCCCCAGAAGCTCTTTTGAAAACCATCATGCCCTTGTTAGACAATATCTCGCTTGCTCTTATACTCAAGGCACGGGAGTGATTTCCGGAATCTCCAAAAAACATATCACCATTATTGAATACGTTTGTATAGTAAATCAGAACTCGAGGCTCGGATTCGGCTAATAAGGAGTCAAGGGTAAAATTTGCAAAATTCAAGAATAAATCTCCGCCCATGTCTAATTCGACACTTGACTTATCGAAGTTTATAATGTAGAAATCACCGTCAAACGTAACCGATCCGTCGGTTCTAACAAAGGCACTGTTTACAATAGCAAAATAGGCATCGATCAGAATACCAAAGCCTCCAATTATTATATCTTGAGACCTCATAATTGTATTTTCCTGAATGAACAAATTATGATACTCAATAGCCAATGCAAACACCAGACTAAGGCAAAACGAAAATATGGCTATCGCGGCGCGAATGTCCATTTTCATAGTGTAGAAGACGAAAGATTTTTATGAATAACTGAATGAAATAGCAAGAAGTTTGTGTGGTATTAGACTGGCTTCCTTCTTATGCCACAAAATGATAACTGGAAAGATGGCTGTTTCTTTAATTATTGAGGCGTTAGTTTCTACTTAAATACTTGTAACCTTGTGGATGACTGCGCCCACATATGGTTTTTGCATTCCCATTCTTTGCCTTCAAGGATGACAATAAAAGCATTCTAGCATTTACATTGTTCTCACGAAATTGATGACACTAATGCAAAACGGCTTGAGTCCAAACTTGGGCAGACAAGCACACTAAGAGGGAGCCAACTATACATAACTTAAATTTCCCAGACGAAAATTTCTACCTTCAAAAGCTTTTTTATACTTCAGTCTGGGACATCAGATTCGAAGTTCATGGAGATTCTGGGATGCATTTTTCCTTCAAATGCCGGACCTCACATTAGATGATTCCGATTGAAATCATTCGCCATATCAAGCAGGTTCTGCTTTATTCTGTATCAATCTCCTTACACGAGATACTTTGAATTACAACAAGAGGACCGATATTCTTGTGATCCTAGTTTGTTCAACTTATTATGCGCCGGGCATTATGGGCAGTACTTACCGTGCACGCTGTATGATCGTCTAATGATTCAAACATGAACCCGATTGCTACGCTTTGCCGTATAAGTGAGTCTTCCCACACAAACTTAAATATGTGAGCTATATTTGACTGAAATGTATGAAGCTCGCCACTCCTGCCGACCTGGGTATACCTTTTTTAAGTCGAATTTTCATAAAGCTGGCATTGAAACTGTAGGCAGTATGTATGCCAGTATCAACACCTTGTACGGTTTTTTTGAGGGAAGAGGGGCTGTGCTATTTACATTTAGAAGGAGTGCATGAAAGGACAAAACTATTCCCGGGGAAAGAATAGGGCTTGAGCCGGCTTATATGTCTCGTAGGAGCATGAGAATCATTCTCTTGAACACCTCTCCGGTTTTGATCCGGTCATGATAGTTTCAGATGAGAGCAAGGTCATTGAAGGAAAAACCAAGGAAAAGAAACTTTTCTGGCTTTAAAGTAACTGCAGGGACTTCTTGGGACATATACGTGCATATAATCACTCAAAAAAGCAGAGATTCAGATCAGCCTCATATATCTGACCAAGTGGATCAAATAAGGAAGTACCTGGAAACAAAAAGAGCACTCTATGAGCTTTCGACAAGACACCGGCGGGCCTAACAAGTGCATATATCAGTTTCAGGCTGATAGCAGGGTCCTGGCACTGACTCAAGCACTATGGCGAAGTACCATTTCCAATGAACTTTTAACAATGATGCCTGTGTTACCTACCAGATGTGACTGCTTCCAAGACACGTTAATAATATCGAGCCTAGGTCTGAAAGACCCAACCCTACATACTTCACTGGCTCTACTTCCACAGTTGTTCGTTTATCTTCTTTCTGATCAAGCGTGAGTGACTTCTGCTATATATTTGATTATATTTCGGGCAGGTTTATGATTGTGGAGTTGCATGCGCCACCAAGGACCGAGGAAAGAAGAAGAACATGAAAACCTGGTAATTTCATATTATGTGATTAAGCCCCCAGACACAGTCCCGGTGTTCTTGCACAGAAAGTTACGCTGTCAAATACACTCGGCCCAAAATTACATCCACCAAATTGAAATCAATGATATCAACGCTTTCAAGATTTTTGCATATTAACTGAAATCCCCCCATCGGGTTGTGATCACGGTTCATCCACCAAAGATTGATTCTGAGCCCTTCAAGGCGAAACTCTTAATTAATGTTGCATTGCAGAACTGGACATTGTCTGGCATCTTGCTCAATGATGCTCATCTCGAGATACCTTTCACCGTATAAGACACCCCTCTTTCCAGATATTATCATACAAAGGCCCCGATTATCGTCCAGATAAATATGACACTAGGAGCCTGTGAAATCACATTGTATGGCAGCGGTCAAAGATATGCCTAGGTGGGTGAGGGTCACGAAGCAATACAAGCGGACTGCGTGTCCTGCCACTGGTCTTTGATTTTTTCGTCTTTCTTGGGGGAACATGACCATAGAGTAAAGTAAATAAGTTCAAAAACCTGAAACAGCTCCCACATACGTACCCAGTGTCGGAACTCGGCCCGTCGTCTTTCGCTAGCCACTATACGAACTTTTGCATCTGTTGCGGATACTACGCCATTGATATGAGATAAGTGTCCTGTAGTTGTCGTCTCAAGAGCTAGCTGGAGGGACTTAAGGAGCTCATCTGCTTCGACTCGCCACGTCTCCCAGTGCATCTTGCTGAACTTAAGCATATCATCAAACGGAGGAAAAGGAACTAGCAGGGATTGCCTCAGTAATGGCGAGTGAGGGGGCAAAAGCTCAAATCTGAACGTCTCAGGGAATTTTAATTGAAGGGGTCTCAGTCAGTTCAAACATTCTTAAGTCCGTTGGGATATGGCGCCATGGAGGGTGATAGGAATTCAGTTTGCTCTACTTTTTTTTGACCACCAAGGAGTCGAGTTTCCTGGGAATGCAGCTCTGAGTGGGTGGTGAATTCCATCCAAAGCTAAATATTGGCGAGAGCCTGACAGCGAACAAGTACAGTAATGGATATATGCAAAGCACTTTGAAAAGAGAGTGGAAAAGTACGTGTAGTTGCTGAAAGGAAAGGGCTTGCAAGCAGACACTACCTTCGTGTTAGGCCGAGGAGAAGTTAAAAAAAAAAAGGAAATGTAGTTGTCGAGTATTGCAGACCTTGTCCACACCTTCCATCTCATCCCGAGGCCTGGGGATTTATCTCGGATGCTGGCGTAATGGCTGCAAGTCGCCCGTCTTGAGACACGGACCAGGAGTCTAACGTCTATGTGAGTGTTTGAGTATCCAAAACCGAAGGAGTCCAGGCTTTTTAGGATTTTTGCCAACTTGTCGATTGGAGCCAACATTTCATCTAAGCTCATGGATCTGGCAAAGCTGAGCTCCCACCAGTATTAGCAAGACTCGAGGATTGTGCGCCCTCAGGGTTGGGGTTTGCTTGGCTACCAGGATTTTACAAATCGACTGGGCCTACCCGTTAAGGCTGAGCCTTCTATGAGCCTATCTGTTTATAGTCAAGAGGCAAACACCAGCCCGTTTTAATATCGTTGGCTGCGGCCATGCCATGGAGAACACACTGATGCCTGTCTGATCGCTTAGTTTTGTAGGGCCATAGTGGGCGAAGCTGTGGAACTGCCGTCTTTTGAAAGCTTTCTATCGAAACCACCAACACCACACCACTGCACCTCAGTCCACTTGGCACCAGCCAGCGAGGTCACAGCACCGCCTGCCGTGGCCCCATTACTATAGCCAATATTGTAGCCAATATTGTAGCCAGCCATTATTGTAGTCATCCTCATAGCCATCCTCATAGCCATTATTATACCCCATTATTATACCCCATTATTATACTCCATTAATAGACCCGATTAATAGACCCCCTCATACCCCATCCTTATAGCTATCTTTACATCCATCCATATAGCCCTCACCATTTATAATACCCGTTATTATACACCCTTATACCTATTACCAATTATTAAACGCATCCTTAAACGCATCCTTTAACATATCTTTACACGCATTCTCAAACGCATCCTTTGACATATCTTTAAACGCATTCTGAAACGCATCTTTATAGCCATCTTTATATCTTTATAGTCATCCTTATATCCATTCTTACACCCATCTTTATATCCATTATTATACCCATCTTCTTATCCTTACTTATACCAATTATTACCCCTTATACCCATTACCACTTATTACACCCATCCTTATAGTCATCTTATAGCCATCCTCCTACTTTTTATTATACCCCCTTCTACCCATCCTCACATCCAACGTTATACCCAGTCATGTCCCCATCATTATGCCCACCCTTATACCCATCGTTATACCCATTATTAACCATGCTAAAACCCATTATTAGCCATGCTTATAGCCATGCTTATAGCCATGCTTATACCCGTTCTTACACCCGCATATTAACCCATCCTTACACCCATCCCTATACCCAATATTATGCCATCTTTATACTCATCCTTACACCCATCCTTATACCCACTATTATCCATGCTCATACCTATCTTCACATCCATCCTTCTACCTATTATTACACCCATCCTCACATCATCCTCACATCATCCTCACGTCATCCTCACATCGTTCTCACGCCCATTCCACACCCATTCTTACCCCTGCCGTCATACCCGCCCTCACACCGCCCCCACACCCAGGCCCACCACGCCCGGCACCAAAACACCAAAACACCGCGCCCACAAGCAAAACACAAACACTGCCAAACCACCTCTTCTTCCCCACGCGCACTTCCCTCCACCACGCGCTCTTTTCGATCCCACGCCTTTTTCATCCCGCACCCTTTTCTCTCCTTTCCACACCTTTTCTCACCTTTCCACACCTTTTCTCACCCTTCCACACACCTTTCTACACCACACGTTTCCACGCGTTTCACCACACCACGCCATTTCCCCGCCCATGGTCGACTTGCCCCTGCTCCGCCTGGATCTCTTCTCCGCGGCCCAGACGCTATCCCAGCTCCACCTCTACCACGCCGCCAAATGGGCGCTGGAGGCGCTCGCAGGGCTAGCGGCCACAGAACCGCCCTTACAGCCGCCCGCCATGCTGCTAATCGCCGGCCCGCTGCAGGACCTCCTCCCCCTCACGCTAGCACAAAGCTACTTTGGCTGCAAGGAATTCGAGCGGGCCGCGCACGTGCTCCGCGACTGCGCGGGCGGCCACGCGGTGTTTCTCCGCTTGTACGCGTCGTACCTCAGCGTCGACAAGAAGGCTGCCGAGGACCTGGGCGGGGCCTTGGGCGTGGGCCCCTCCGCAGGCCTGCTAGGCGGGTCTGCGCCGCGCGGCGGCCCCGACGACGGCCTGGACCAGCACAAAGACTTGGCCGACGGGCTCTCGGGCCGACTAGCGGCCATTGTGCTGGAGATCGAGCGGTTCCACGCGCGGCCGGGCACGGCGCCCAACGCGTTTCTCCTCTTTCTCCAGGGCGTCATCTACAACCGGCGCAAGCGCGTCCGCTTGGCCCAGGACCACCTCCTCGCGTCCCTCCAGGCGTTCGCCTACAACTGGAGCTGCTGGCAGGAGCTCGCGCAGACCTTTGCCACGTACGACGAGGCGGCCGCGTTCGTCGAGCGGACGCGGGCCGCGGCGCCCGCGCTTGCCGCCGGCGTGATGTTCCAGATCTTCGAGGTGGTGCTTCTCCAGGAGTTCTACCAGGGCGCGGCGGCCTTCCACGAGAAGATCCGCCCGTTGTGCGACGTGTTCCCGTCGTTCGTGTTCTTGAAGGTGCAGAAGTTCCTCGTCGCGTACCACGGGCTCGACTACCTCCACGCGGAGCAGTTGTTCGACGCGATTCTTCTCCAGGACCCGATGCGCCTCGACGACTTGGACACGTACCTGAACATGTTGTACGTGATGGAGAAGAAGCTGAAGCTCGCGTTCCTCGCGCAGTACACGCTGCAGATCGACAGGTTCCGCGCCGAGACCTGCTGCGTGGTGGCCAACTACCACCTGATGAAGGGCGAGCACGACAAGGCCGTCATGTACTACAAGCGCGCCCTCACCTTGAACCGCGCCTGCCTCAGCGCGTGGACCTTGATGGGCCACGAGTTTGTCGAGCTCAAGAACTCGCACGCGGCCATCGAGTCCTACCGCCGGGCGGTCGACATCAACGCCAAGGACTTCCGCGCCTGGTACGGCCTCGGCCAGGCCTACGAGGTCTTGGACATGCACTTGTACGCCTTGTACTACTACCAGCGCGCCACCAGCTTGCAGCCCACGGACAAGCGCATGTGGCAAGCCATCGGCAACTGCTACGAGAAGATCGACAAGCTAGAAGAGGCCCTCCTGTCCTTCGACAAGGCGCTCGCCATCGAGTCCTTGAGCCGAGCGGGCGACGACGCGGCCGAGCCCGCCAGTGTGGAGCCCCACATCTGCTTCAAGCTCGCCGTCATCTCCGAGAAGTTGGGGAGGACAAAGGACTCCTACAAGTACATGCGCATTTGCTTCGAGCAAGAGTGCGAGTGGGGCGTGACCGATGAGACCTCCAAGGCTCGCCTTTGGTTGGCCCGCCACGCGTTGGAAAACAGGCACTTCGACGACGCCTATGAGCTAGCAAAAGACTTCAATTTCAGCAACGCCCACGACGTCGAAGAGGCTCGCGCCATTGCCAAGGAGGCCCGAAACCGCATGGGGCTGTGACGCGCGTATTTACAGGTGTGTATTATTAAACAAGAAAAAATACTCGTGATGAATTGGTGATGCGATGGTGATCGTGCGGAACTGGCTTGCATGTGGGTGGCTTGTGGAAAGCATTAGAGTCTAGCTGGGGATGGTCCGGGGTTAATCATTGAGTTTTCAACTCTTCTTCTAGTTTGAGCAAGTCGCTGGGCGTTTGGAGCCTGCGGCACACCTCGTCCACAGTGTGCGGCAACGACGTCACAGCACGCTTCAACTCCTCCATGGACAAGCCATTGTTGGCATGAACCCACAAATGGGGCCCTTGTACTGGCAAGTTCTCTTGTTCATAGACCAACCGTGTGCGGTTGATCAAAATGCGGTGCTGCCTGAGGAACACGTCAATGATCTTTTGTAATAGGTAGCACTCAAGATTGTAGTGCGTACTGAATGCATTCAACTTTCTAAATGGCTTCCCTGTCGTAAGAAGCGTGCCGTTTCCGTATAGCTCAGGCAAGCCCAAACGGGCTCTGTAGTTTGCTTTGAGGCCAAGATGGGCAATTGGCCCGTTTCCGTCCGAAACAACTTCGAAGTACTTGGACTTTGAAAACGCTTTTGTGAGCTCTTTGTGGCAGAATCTGATTTTTTCGTTGAGCGAATGCATGACTATCGAATTGCCCTGCGAGTCGGTGTTCCCGGTTATAACTTTGATTGCCTCGGAGGCAACCTTGGCGGAATATGGAGGCAAAGATGCACTGAACACATATGCCGTGGAGTTAATACGTTGGTGATGGACCATGGGCTTGACACCCACACAGAATCCTCCAGAGGAAGCAAACGACGTGGCGAGGGAACCAATGGTGATAGAAATTTCGGACCGGGAGATTCCAAAGTGTTCCGGCGCACCACGACCGCTCGACCCCAAAGTGCCGATGGACAAAGTCTCGTCCAAAAACAAACGGTACTTGTACTTATTCTTGAGCTCAACAATCTCTGGCAATTTGACCACATCACCACTGTACGCAAAGATTCCCTCGCTGATAATGAACCTCCGGCGTAATGGCTTCTGTTTGTTCAAGATGGGATCCAACTCGGACAAGATCTGCTCCAAATGTTCAACATCGTTGTGATCATACCACTCAATATCACATCTACTGACGATCAATGCCTTCTGTATAGCAACGTTGATGCCGGAATCAACCACAGCCAAATCACCTCTCTTCAAAAAGGCGGGGATTACTGAGCCCGCAGTGACAAAGTCCTGTCCGTAAAGAATGGCTTGCTCGGTCTGCAAATAGCGGGACAAATCTTCTTCTAATCTGACGTGCACATCCTGACTGCCGTAAAAGTTTGGGGGGCCACAAGCCCCGACACCGCTGTTACTGATGGCATCTTTAGCAGCCTTCTTCAAGCGGGTGCTGCAGTTCAAATCGAGAAAGTCCAAACTGGACATGTTGACGACTTTCGATAGCTCGGGGTGCCCCACAAGTTCAACGTGAGAGCTGTTTTCACCCTTCACATGATATTCTTTCAACTGCCAGTGCTCCAAGTCCGAAACAGGGTCGACAAGTGGCGCGGGGTCCCACTCGTCGATCAACTCGTCGATTTCTTTCTGGGAGAATGTGACGATCTCGGCCTTGTTTTCCTTCTTTTTGGACGAGAGGAAGTAATGAACGGCGAAAATGAATAAGGCGAACTCAAACAAGGACCGCAACGGATCATCCTTGTATGACGATTTGATGTATCTCGACACGATCAGTCCGCCAGGAACGTTTTCGAGAAGCGCCAAACAATAGGTGACCTTGAGGCCAAGCTTGGCTTCTAGGAAGTCTAGCGAGGGAGGCAACGACGACACTTCAGATTGGGCAGTCATGGTAGAATAGATGGCGTGGGTGGGTGTGTAAGCGAGGAAAGCGTGCAAGGCAGTCTGTGGTGGCGTTCTTGCGGCGAAATCTCTTTCTGGCTTTCCGTGTTTTTTTCTCGGTAGTTTTCTTAGGCTTTTTCTTGCTTATGGCTCGTAGGTACGCGCGCCAGAATCTCACGGGTGTCTGGATGTCGCCCTCGGCACCAGATATTGTCCTGCATGGGGACGCCGTGGACACAGGCCCGGGACAACGGCGCGTTCGTGCTTCCAGACTGTCTCACACTCGAGCCCCTATAAACAGGCCCGTGCTGCACCAAGCCTATATTTGCTCGCTTTCTGGGCACTCCCCTTGGAACCGCCTGGATTGGGAAGTTCTATTGATGCTAGACAAACTTTCTTTTAGGCCATGTAGGAATGGGAAACCGTAGATCACATCACTTGTACTGGCCTCGACAGTACTTGTAGGAGCTTGCCAAGAGCAGAGAAGACCCGAGAAACTCAAAGCACCGTTGCAGACATCTCAAGCACCGTTGCAGGCCCGATGAGATGCCTCAATCCCAGTTTGCCTGGACTCATGGCTTCTAGGGCAAGAAGATTCTGCTCATGCCCTCCACGTCTTGGCGACAGCAGACACACCCTTTCATTCCCTTGGCGACGAGGCTGACGCGGCATCCTTCACAGATGGCGAGACATTTGCACGGCCAAGTGATGAGGGTCCGCGGTTCGGTTTGGCAAATCACGCAGGCCATCCTCGGGTCGATGTCGTCGTACCCGTCATGCAGCGTGGCCCGCTCTTCCCTTTCCATCTGAGACTTGCGCTGCGCCACAATGAGCGCGAGAAGCTCCTGGTGCTGGGTTTGGGCGATGTTCTTGGCAGCGAGGGCCCTGTAGCGCGCCCGGGTCATGATGCCGCGCTCGGCGTAGTTGTATTTGAGATGGTGCTGCAAGACGTCTCTGTCTTCGCAGAGCTCGATCAAGGTGTCGGGCGTCATGAGCTCACCAACCGCGGACGAGGCCGCTTCGCAGGGGCCGCGAGGTGGGCCACGGGCCGAGACGGAGGCGACGTCGGAGAGCTCTGCATCCGAGTCGAGCTCGGAGTCGTCGGTGTCCGCCGAGAGCGCGAAGTCAGGCGACTCGTCGATCTCGTCCCAGTCCTGGACGGTGTGTTTTTCGGCGGCCAGGGCGGCCAGAGCGGCGAGGCGTTCTTCGGTCTCGAGAATGTGTCTGACGAAAGGCGGGACGCGGCTGCGCGGCACGAGCCCTTGGCCAGCGTCGTGGGCCACGCGGCGGGCGCTGAGGCGACGCACAAGCCACTGTTTCGGGGAGTGGTAGAGCACATGCAAGACGCCCCACTTCACGAGCTGGCCAAAGCGCCACCAGGTCTCGGCGACGAAGAGGACGCGAAGCTTGATGGTGCTCACGCGCGGGGCCCGGGCGGGGGCCCCGCCGGCGCCGTTGAGCCAGTGCTGGGGCGGGGTCTTGATGACGTTGTCGTACCCCAAGACGCGGGGCTCGGCGGGCCCGCGGAGGGCGCCGTGCGGGTCGCTGGCCGGGTTCCCGGGCACGCTGAGCGCGTGCGCAAGCAGGTCCCACAAGCCCTGCTCGGCCCAGGTGCGGCGCGGCGCGGGAACGTAGCTGTAGGCCAGGAAGTAGCTGGCCTTGCCCGCGTGGGTCACGGCCACCATGCCCAAGTTGATGGCCGCGGTGTAGAAGTCCTGCGAGAGGCTGAGGCCAAGGTGGTCTGCGAGCAGCGAGCCGTCGCGCGGGGCGTCGGCGAAGAACTGCGCCACGTTGAGCTCGTCCACGCGGGCGCCCTTGGTGAGCACCGCGAGAACAAGCACCGCGGCGCACACGCCCACGACGGCCAAGGTGGCCACGAGCGCCAAGTACGTGAGCGCGATCTCCAGCGGCATGTCGAACACGCGGCCGCCCGGGAGGTGCGTGCAGAAGTACCACACGAAGACCGCGCTGAGCACGGTCAGCGGCACGAGGCGGTACCTGTTCGCGTAGAGCACGGCGCCCGCGTGGCTGCAGACGTGGTCCGCGAGCGCAAAGAGACACACGGCCAAGACCTGCTCCGAGGGCCGCCGGGCGGCCACGTGGGCGCGGGGGAAGAGGAAGCCGGCGCTGGCCTCCTGGAGCGCGAGCGAGAGCTCGAAGAGCGTGAGCCCGCCCTGGAGGAACGGCGGCGCGCGCGCCATGGCCGCGGCAAAGGTCTCGACCACGAGCGAGTAGCTGACCGCGAGGAACACGGGCCAGAGCATGTCGGTGGTGGGCCCGAGCACCACCTCGTCGCGCGGCATGCGCATGTATCTGTCGTGCGCGTACACGGCCGGGTCGTACGCGAAGTAGCGCTGCGGCACCCACCGGGCAAGCCGGCACGCGGTCTGCGGGTCGCCGAAGCGGCCGTGCACGCCGAGCGCCACCAACACGTTGCACGCCTGCCGCGCTAGGAGCACCACGGCCAGGAGCCGCAAGAGCGCCAAGCCCACGCCCTGCGGCACCGGCAGCCGCCGCAACAACGACCACGGGCCGCCGCCGCGCGCCGCGCGTGTCCCGGCGCCGGCCAGCGACGCGATCGCCGCGGTCCGGTTGAGAATGAGCGCCACGAAAAAGGTCGAGATGCCGTACACGGAAAACGCGTACGCGGCAATGCTGCCGAAGCGGTCCCAGCGCACACTGCGGGCGTCCAGCAGCGCGCTCTGGGCCGCCACGGCGTCGCCGAAAAGCAGGATGCTTTGCGAAAGCCTGCCGAACAAGCCGGCGGGTGTTTCGAAGGAGCCGTTGGGCCAGGCCGCGGTCACGTGCGCCGGCGCCGTGGCGTTGGCGGGCGGGCGGAGATTTGCGGATGAGGCCATGTTGCGGTCAGTGGCGAGGCCTGAGGGGGTTTTGAGGCCGGATTTGGGCGGGGTGGTGTGGGGTTGGGGCGGCTTTTGGCTGGTCTGGGGGGGTTTGCCGCCGGAGGGGGAGGAGTTGACAGTTGACGGGAGGCGCGCTCAGTCACGTGACGCGGGGCGCGGCGCGGGCCGGGTTTTGTTGCAGTCCTTTTTATTTAATGGCCCTTTTATTAGATGGCCCTTTTCCATGGTCGCGCGCCGGCCGCCGGTTGGCCCGTCCTTGGCCATTGTTTCAAAGACAAGGGGTTGTGAATGGATAAATGACGGGAAGTGGGCTTTGTAAGCTTAGATCACAAAAGACCATTGCCCTTCTGCTCGGGGAGGGGGCGGGTCACGGAGTGGATGATCCTTTATTAATGGATGTATATAGATGACAGATGGGTATATACAGCATAGATTAGGGAAAGATTTTTGTGGTGAGTTTACGTAGGATGAGTAGAAAACCTATTGATAAAGTAGGAATAATCAAGCATACATTAAGAAAAGTACAAGCGGAAGTCAAGGACATGAGGAGTTTCAATACCACCAGTTAATCCTTTAGTTCGTTTCATTTGATATGCATTTGATATGAAGCAGAACAGAGCAGCAAAGCACCCAAGAAAGGAGAACGAGAATTAGCTCCAGTCAGAAATTATAATTCTCCAATAAAATGATAGATAGAGGGGTGAGACGATGCAAGGAGTGTTATGATATGGTGTAGACCAGTTATGAACATATGCAATATGTTGTTCAATGCAGATATACCTCAAGGACGTTCATAACCCTTTGCTTCATAACTTCGGGTTCGGGTGGATATCCCGCCCTGGGTGAAATATAGAATATGTCAAATTTATTGGGTTTATCATATTTATCCTATTTATACCTCTTGGTAAGATAAGATATGATGTAAATATATAGCATCTTTTAAATGACTAGAAAATAAATCACACAAATCCTAAGCTTGAATTTTTCAAGTTCAAGTATAACAAGAGTGATTACACCGCTTAAAGGAGAAGTAGCTAAACAATAAAGAGGAACCCATTAGACCTAAAATTAAACCACCTCAGGTGAAAGGTAACCAGCCATGATATCAGCACTCAAACGTAAATCGAAAGATAATGCTTTAGAACTATAAGATCATGTTTTTATTAAAGCTAAAGCCGGTACCAAAGCTATATGTGCTTCGGTAGGTACAAATAAATTAAAGAAGTTTAGTCCTTGTGCATTTGAATCTAATGTAGTTAAACATCATCATGATGTTACACTTAATGCTATTATACCTACGGTTTGAGCTGGCATAGCAAATGAATAAAATATGACAGATACTAAACCAGCTATAAAAATTTAATTAAATAATGAGAATATAAATGGAAAATATATTTCACCTCTTGGACCGACTTGACTACGTACTATATTTAGTACTCTATCATATATTGATAATATACTTAATCCTCATCTTGTTGAATTTTTACTTTCTGATATGATTTTATAATAGAAACTTATTATTCCTGATACTGATATCAGAAATAATTTGTTGTACTTATTATTGATGAATTATTTATTGATGAATTATTAATTGATGTTCTTATTTCAAATTGCTCTAATGCAAAATAGATCATTCCTTTCCTCCCTTTATTTTATGAGGTCCTCTAGGCAAAGGCCGCTTGATCGCTATGATGTCTTTTTTACCTTATACTTTTGCTATTATCACCTTGAAAATGTTATTTTACTTTTGATGGTAATATATAGCGACATGCTAGATATTTTTACTGATATTATTCCTGATAGTAGTATATGTTTAAATTTGAATGGTTTTGATTGTGGCTATTACTTTTATTTTGATACTTCATAATTTAAAAACTTCCGATTGAAGAGACTTGAGCCCCCCTAATTATACATCCAATGTATGGACGTTACCAATTACGCAACAATCTGTTTTGGATCTAGATTTTATTTCACTCCTTTTCTACCTTTTTTTCCTTTATCATAATACCTTCTTCTTCTTGAAATCACCCAGAATATTGAGAGAATCGAACTCTACAACTAATTTGCAATAAATTTGTATATCTTGTTGTACAATATTTTTTAACACATCTGATTATATTCTGATGTATATAAGCTTGAAGTGAATATATAAGCAACCCTATATCTTAATGATCTGCTCTTTTATACATACATTAATTAAAAGTGCCTAATTTAACATTAGCGTTTAGTTTAATACTTGCATTATCTTTCTAATTGGTATTTCTCTCTTACCTGTGGTGAAATTGGGTGTGATCTATGAGATTGGCTCATGGGGCATTGTTTCATGGAATCTGGCCAGGGTGATTATTAGACTGTCCTAGTAAAAAATCACAATCATACAAATAAAAGTGTAAATCCAACAGTCATTAATCTTCAAACAAGAAATACGAATGCATGATATGCAATCTGAATTTCCCGGTTTACCCACTGGGCTGGTGGTTCGTGTGTGTGTGAATTGATGTAGAAGAATTTTGGATTACCAATCTGTCCAGTGAATGTTATTGGTGGTTTGGCCTGATACGATCTTTTTTTCTGTTTCGATTGAGCACTCGGGAATTTTCCCATCTTTGCAGCATAAAGTCTGGGGTTCACCTTGGTCCGAATAATCTTTCGAGGAAATATTTTCGAAATTATCCTAGTTAGTGTTAGCTGCCCCATGCTGCCTAGTGACGTTCTGTGTATATCGGCTGAATTCCGCCTTTATGGCCAATTAATCTCGGGATGTGCGGAGGTGTGGATTGCCCGGTGTGCTGCTCGCACCTCGGTTGCAAAATGCTTCACTTGATATCTCAGGCACAATCTATGGATTCGACCAGAAGGCGAAGATCCAAGATCTGTTTTCAGACTCTACTATCTCATTGGGTAAGCCGTGGACTCAGTGGCTCAATCGACGTTACCGCGTCATGTATTTCTAGACTCGTATATTATGGAGAACAGAATCTCCAGTAGAACAAATGAAACCCATTAATTTTGAAATTCAGTGTGAATGCTAACCATGAAAGTGGGGCCTCTCAGTCTGTTAACATCTCGCAATTGGAGAAAAGTCACCACAGGCATAACTGGCTCGTGGCAGTCAAGCGTTCATGGCGACATTGCTTCTTCGATGTTGGCTCTTCCTATCATACCAAAGAACCCGGCAAGCGTTGGATTGTGGCGGGCCCTAGAGCAAGACTTCTTTCTAACAAGCAGCCCGTGCTGATTTGCTACATGCCGCAGATGGGCAGTGTCATGCCTTGCCACACTCCCGACCTTTTTAGATTGTTCATGTCGTGATCGGTGATATTCTGCTTTCAAGGCACATCCACATTGTGCTCTCGGTACAGTCTTTTGGCATTCCCGCTGACCTTTGACTAGTCTGTTTGCGACTCACAACCCACCCATGGGTCGCATCAAACTCTTTGGCTTGGTAGCACTGTTCAGATCAGGTGATGGTGAACTATAATACAGCTTGTCACTCAGCGTGGTCTTGTGACACTGAGTCTGACTCAAAGACAGGTGTGCAGCTAACTGGTGAGCCACAACCGTTTCTTCACCGTATAGCTCTTGGCTGTGCTGGAACCTTCGACCAAAGACTACTTTTTGCGAGACCTCATATTTCGAGACAGCCTGGAATTGTTTACACGGGACTCATGGGTAAATGCGTTGATTCTGTGTCCAAAGTGTGGATGCGCCTGGATCGCTAGTAATAGACAAACACCAGTGCTTCTAAGTGCTTGCTGGTTTAATTTTGAGATTGAGTACGTCTGCATTGTTGACCGCTCCAGTCAGCCCATTGGTCGGGATGCCTTTTAGGTAAGTGATCTGTTTACGACTCTCTTGTGATGCTGCGGCTTGCCGAAATTGTATTTATGCGAAGTTCTTGTGGACGACTCGTATTTTCAACGACTTGTGATTGAAGCAGCATAGAAACAGAAGAAAACTACATGAGCTGGCAGCTAACTTTTTCATAGAGGAACCTTGTTGCTGAGCCGTTCTGATACTACTTTGAAATTGGTCCTGACAGGGGTGGCGAGACAGCGACAATCAGGACCTTGGGCTGAGCAAACAGACGTAAAAAGAGCACGGATGGCCGAGTCTCTGTGTGAAGAGACGATGTTGGTTCGGTCTCGATCAACTGAATGCAATGCAAGAAACATGCCCCAGAGGCAACCTGGAAAACGGCGTCGCATCCAGCCCGGGCCTTTCAAATGAATCTCAAAGCCACACAATTACATGCTGCCCAAGAGAATCTAGGAATAAAACCCACGGGGCATCTTTTGAAGGACGCCCTGTGCACAATCAAGAGCAGCCCGGGGGGCCTCGGCAAAGAAAAGCGAGACAGATGGAAGCTGGCTGCATGCAAAGTGACCTCATGACGAGCTACGCATGCGCCGCCACAAAAGGGGCAGGCTGGAAACAAAGAGCGGAGGACACAGCCTATATCTGAGCCGAAAACGGGCCTGAACCTGAGCCGACAATGGAGCCGGAGCCAGCACCTAGAGGCCTAGCACTTGTGGACTACCATGCAAGAGGCCTAGCCCAGGACCCAAGAATGCGCTGCGATTCAAGGTCTTCTGCGATTCAAGGTCTTCTGCGATTCAAGGTCTTCTGCGATTCAAGGTCTGCGGGCGTTTTAGTAAGAAACGTGGATTCAAGAAAATCAAGCATTGGTCCTGGAGCACCAAGCGGTGTCCCTTTCTCAACGAAGAAAGTGAAGACATTCGGGCATACAGTAGATGCATGTCAAGAATCACCCAAAAGACACAATCCCCGGGGCATGAATATCAAGCCACCAGAGAAAAGAGGTGAACGCTCTCACGTCCAGATCTAGGTGCATCCAGTCACGAGGCCTCTACTAGTTTACGTCTGATACTTGGAAACCCTGCTCCGTTGGGGTCTTGCCAGGAACAGGCACAATCCTGCAGCATGCCTCCATGAAGAAGGCCATCGGAAATTGCACGAGCGACGAAAACACCTCCAGACTAGTGCTCGACTATAGTCTTCGCCAGGGCCCTGGCCACGGCCGGGGACGCGCGGCGTGCACACAGCGCGCACTGTGTGCAGGCGCCACGGTCCCCCAGCACCGCTGCCGTGAGCCCGTGTCGGGCGGCACAGACCCCAAACTCCGCAGACCCGCTCCCGACCACGCCCCCAGCACGCGCCCGTTTTCCCCGCCGCGAAACAGCGGATTCTCGCCAAAATGACGGAGGGGCCCAGGACCCGAGGTAGGCGTCCTGCACACAGCGCGCGCCGCGCCCGCGCCCCATCTCTCGGAAACGGCGCCAGCGGCACCCAAAGGTTGAATCCACACGCCGAAAACACGTCTTTTCCGCCGCCGTTTTCCGCCTGCCATGCCTCCCGGACCGCCGCCACCGCCGCCACGCCCCGACGCACGTGGCCGCCGCGCGCCGCCGCCACCGCCGCCGCCGCCAGGCCTCGCCGCCAGCCGGCCCTCCACCACGCTTCCCCAGGTCTCTTTGGGGCGCCTTCCAACAGGCGTTCCAGCGCCGCCCATGGCGCCCGGCACGGCCGCCCAAGCCCGGGCACGGCCGCCGCCGCCGCCGCCGCCGGGCGCCCAGCCGGCGCGCAAAATCGCGCGCAAAAACGGCCCAAATCCGGCCCCGTTGGACCCGGCGCTCCTAGAAACACGCAAGCAGGCGTGGTTGCACGCACAGAAACAGCGGCACGGCGCCGGCGGCTCGGCGCGGCCGCGGCGCAGCCGGCCCGCGCAGGCCGCCATGCCGCCCGAGCACCTCCGCAAGATCATGCGCGACCACGCGGATCTCTCCAGCAGGAAGATCGCCGGCGACAAGCGGGCGCACCTCGGCGCACTCAAGTACGTGCCGCACGCGCTCCTCAAGGTGTTGGAGAACATGCCCGCGCCCTGGGAGGCGGCGCGCGACGTGGCCGTGGTGTACCACACGTCCGGCGCGCTCACGTTGGTGGACGAGGTCCCGCGCGTGGTGGAGCCCGTGTACACGGCGCAGTGGGCGGCGTGCTGGGCGCAGATGCGGCGCGAGAAGCGCGACCGGCGCCACTTCAAGCGCATGCGGTTCCCGCCGTTTGACGACGACGAGCCGCCGCTCGACTGGGCCGACCACTTGGACGGCGCGGACGTGCCGGACGCCATTGAGATGGGGCGCGACGACGTGTATGGGGGGGGCTCTGGGGCGCCCGAGGCCGCGGTTCTGGGGGTCTCCAAGACACCCGAGGCCGCGCTCGCCAGCGTGCTCGACTGGCTCCACGACGACAAGCCGCTCCTCGACACGCCGGCCGCCGGCGCCGTCAACGGCCCCTCCTACCGCACGTGGCACTTGCGCCTCGAGGCCATGGCCGCGCTCTACGACTTGGCGCGCCCGCTCCTCCCGCACGTCTCGGACGCCAACTACTACTACCTCTTCGACCGGCGCGCGTTCTTCACCGCCAAGAGCTTGAACGTGGCGGTGCCAGGCGGGCCGCGCTTCGAGCCGCTCGTCCGCGCCGCCGCAGAGCCCGACTACACCGGCTTCGACGCGCTCGACCGCGTGGTGTTCCGCGTGCCCATCCGCCCCGCGTACCGCGTGGCGTACCCGTTCTTGTTCAACTCGCGCGTGCAAGCCGTGCACGTGCCGTGGTTCCACGAGCCGCTCGCCTGCTACGTGCCGCGGCCCGCACGCGGCCAGGCGCCGTTCGTGTTCCCCGACGCCTTCCACCCGATCGACCCGCCCGCGTTTTGCACCTCGCACGCAGAGGCCGCGTTGGTGCCCTTCGCCGTGGACGAGCTCGCCGTGCCGCCGCACTTCGCGCCGCTCTTGGCCCGCTCCGCCGCGGGGCCCGTGCCCTTGGCGCCGCCCCACACCGCGGCCGCCTTGGCCTTGCTCTGGGCGCCGTTCCCGTTCAACCGCCGCGCCGGCCGCACCGTGCGTGCGCAGGACGTGGCGCTCGCCAAGGCCTGGTACAAGGAGCGCCCGCCCGCGGGCGTGCCCGCCAAGGTGCGCGTGTCGTACCAGAAGCTCCTCAAGCGCCACGTGCTCACCGAGCTCCACAACCCGCCGGGCGCGCGGCCGCCGCTGGCCAACCACCACCGGCCCGGCCTTCTCCGCAGCTTGAAGGCCACCCGGTACTTCCAGCAGACCACCATCGACTGGGTCGAGGCGGGTCTCCAGGTGTGCCGCCAGGGCCACAACATGCTCAACTTGCTTCTCCACAAGCGCGGGCTCACGTACCTCCACCTCGACTACAACTTCAACTTGAAGCCCACCAAGACCTTGACCACCAAGGAGCGCAAGAAGTCGCGCTTCGGCCACGCGTTCCACTTGGTGCGCGAGCTCTTGCGCGTGCTCAAGATCATCGTGGACTCCCACGTGCAGTTCCGCTTGGGCAACGTCGACGCCTACCAGTTGGCCGACGGCATCCACTACATCCTCAACCACCTCGGCCAGTTGACGGGCATCTACCGCTACAAGTACAAGGTCATGCACCAGATCCGCGCCTGCAAGGACCTCAAGCACGTCGTGTACTCCCGCTTCAACAAGTCCATCGGCAAGGGCCCCGGCTGCGGCTTCTGGCAGCCCGCCTGGCGCGTGTGGCTCGCGTTCATCCGCGGCACCATCCCCATGCTCGAGCGCTGGTTGGGCAACTTGTTGGCCCGCCAGTTCGAGGGCAGGCGCGCCAACGACGTGGCCAAGACCGTCACCAAGCAACGCATCGACTCCTACTACGACCTCGAGTTGCGCGCGCAGGTCATGCACGACATCATGGACATGATCCCCGACGGCTTGAAGCAGAACAAGTCTGCCTTGGTTCTCCAGCACTTGAGCGAGGCCTGGAGATGCTGGAAGGCAAACATCCCCTGGAAGGTGCCCGGCTTGCCGGCGCCCATCGAGAAAATCATCGAGCACTACATCAAGGGGAAGGCCGACGGCTGGATCTCCATAGCCCACTACAACAGAGAGCGCATCCGGAGGGGCGCCACGGTCGAGAAAACCGTCGTCAAGAAAAACCTAGGCCGTCTCACCCGGTTGTGGATCAAGAACGAGCAGGACAGACAGCTCGACTTCGCCAAAAACGGGCCCTTCGTGTCTCCAGACCAGGCCGTCATTGTTTTCCAGACCATGGTGCACTGGCTAGAGAGCAGGCGCTTCAGCCCCATCCCTTTCCCTCCGATTTCCTACAAGCACGACACCAAGCTCCTAGTCCTTGCCCTCGAGAACTTGAAGGAGAGCTACAATGCCAACTCCAGGCTCAACTCGGCCCAGAGAGAGGAGTTGGCGCTAATTGAGCAAGCATACGACAATCCGAACGAGTGCTTGGCCCGCATCAAGAAGTATCTTTTGACCCAACGGATATTCAAAGAAGCCGGCTTGGAAATGATGGACCACTACAGTCATTTGGTCCCTACGTATGCTATCGACCCACTCGAGAAAATCACTGACGCTTACCTCGATCAGTACTTATGGTACGAGGCTGACAAGAGACAGTTGTTCCCCAACTGGGTCAAGCCCTCAGACGACGAGATTCCCCCATTATTGGTTTACAAGTGGTGTCAAGGAATAAACAACCTTGACAACGTGTGGTGCACGGCGGACGGTGAATCAAATGTCATGTTCCAAACCTCGTTGAGCAAGTTCGCCGAGAATATCGACTTCACAATCTTGAACAGACTCATAAGATTGATTGTTGACCCCAATATCGCAGACTACATCACCTCGAAGAATAATATCGGGCTCTCGTACAAAGACATGAACCATGTCAACCAATTGGGCTTGATTCGTGGACTTCAGTTCTCGTCATTTGTATACCAATACTACGGGTTGATCATCGATTTGTTGATTTTGGGTTTGGAAAGAGCCTCTGAAATCGCCGGACCTGTACATCAACCCAACGCGTTCATGCAATATCAAGACAAAACCACCGAAACAGCCAGCCCCATCAGATTGTATTTGAGATACTTGGATAAGATTTATGTGTTCTTCAGATTCGAGCGTGAAGAAGCTGAGGGCCTCGTCCAAGATTATCTCACTGAAAACCCAGATCCTAACTTTGAGAACCTGATTGGTTACAACAACCATAAATGCTGGCCCCGGGATTCAAGAATGAAGCTCATGAGGTCAGATGTGAATCTTGGAAAAGCCGTGTTTTGGGAAGTATCAGGCAGGATACCCTCGTCTTTCACAGAGATGAGATGGGAAGATACTTATGCGTCAGTCTACTCTCCTGAAAACCCAAACTTATTGTTTTCTTTGTGTGGATTTGAAGTCAGAATTTTGCCCAAATGTCGCATGTTGGAAGATACATCTTCGCAAGAAGGTGTTTGGGACCTTGTAAATCAAGAAACAAAGGCAAGAACAGCAAAAGCATATCTTCAGGTTTCCCAAGAGGATGTTGAAAAGTTTGAAAACAGAATTCGTCAAATCCTCATGTCGACAGGCTCCGCCACATTTACGAAAACTGCAGCAAAGTGGAATACGTCGCTTATTGCTTTGTTCGCTTACTACAGAGAAGCCGTTGTGGCCACTGAGCCTTTGCTCGATGTGTTAGTCAGATGCGAAACAAAGATTCAAAACAAAGTGAAGTCAGGCCTCAACTCCAAAATGCCTTCCAGATTCCCACCTGCGGTCTTTTACACTCCAAAAGAGCTTGGTGGGTTGGGCATGCTTAGTGCGTCACACATCTTAATCCCAGCTTCGGATTTAAAATGGTCGAAGCAAACAGATACGGGAATTTCACATTTCAGAGCGGGGATGACCCACCAAGAAGGACGGATGATCCCTACGGTCTTCAGATACATCACAACATGGGAAAACGAATTCTTGGACTCTCAACGCGTGTGGGCAGAATACACAATCAAAAGGCAAGAAGCTGCCGAGCAAAACCGCCGTCTTACATTCGAGGATATGGAGGCCAGCTGGGATAGAGGCTTGCCGAGAATAAGCACTTTGTTTCAAAAGGATCGTCAAACCTTAGCGTACGATAAGGGCCACAGAATCAGGAGAGAATTCAAGCAGTTTTCTTTGCCTCGATACAATCCTTTCTGGTGGACGAACAACCACCATGATGGTAAGCTTTGGAATTTGTCTGCGTACAGAACTGATGTTATCCAAGCATTAGGGGGCATTGAAACAATCTTGGAGCACACTCTTTTCAAGGGCACAGGTTTTGACTCTTGGGAAGGATTATTCTGGGAGAAGGCCTCAGGGTTTGAGGACTCCTTAAAATTCAAGAAGTTGACCAATGCTCAACGTTCTGGATTGAGTCAGATTCCAAATCGTCGTTTTACATTGTGGTGGTCGCCGACGATCAATAGGGCCAATGTTTACGTTGGTTTCTTGGTGCAGCTAGACTTGACAGGAATCTTTCTTCACGGAAAGATCCCAACTTTGAAGATCTCCCTCATTCAAATATTCCGTGCGCACTTGTGGCAAAAAATCCACGAAAGTTTGGTGCAAGATCTTTGTCAGGTTCTTGATAAGGAATTGGAAGTGTTACGAATCGATACTGTCGAGAAACAGGCTATTCATCCCCGGAAGTCCTACAAGATGAACTCATCCTCAGCGGATATTGTTTTGTCAAGCACATATAAATGGAATGTGTCCAGGCCTTCCCTTTTGAATGATAAGAATGACTCGTTTGACAATGCGACGGCCTCGAAGTATTGGATGGATGTTCAGCTCAGGTACGGCGATTATGACTCACACGACATATCCAGATACACCCGGGCTAAATTCTTGGATTACACAACCGACAGTACCAGCGCTTATCCGTCGCCAACAGGTGCCATGGTGGGAGTCGATCTTGCCTACAATGTCTACGATGTTTACGGAAATTGGTTTAGTGGTATGAAACCTTTGATGCAAAATGCCATGAAGGAAATCATGAAAGCGAACCCAGCCTTGTACGTTCTAAGGGAACGCATAAGAAAAGGCTTGCAATTGTATCAATCCCAACCACAAGTTGCTCTTCTCAACTCTTCCAATTATGCTGAATTGTTCAATAACGAGACACAATTGTTTATCGATGATACAAATGTGTACAGGGTGACAGTGCATCGTACGTTCGAAGGAAATCTTTCTACAAAACCAATTAATGGTGCAGTATTCATGTTGAACCCTAAATCAGGCCAATTATTTTTAAAGATCATTCATACGCTGGTTTGGGCTGGTCAAAAGAGGTTAGGTCAATTGGCAAAATGGAAGACAGCCGAAGAAGTTGCCGCATTGGTGCGTTCATTGCCAAGAGAAGAACAGCCTAAGCAATTGATTGCAACACGGAAAGGTGTTCTCGATCCTCTCGAAGTCCACATGCTTGACTTTCCTAACATTTCTATCCGTGCTTCTGAGCTTCATTTGCCTTTCGCTTCCGCCTTGAAAATCGACAAGTTGGCTGACGTTGTTTTGAAAGCAGGAGAACCACAGATGGTACTCTTCAATTTTTATGATGACTGGCTCCAGAGTATATCCTCATATACTGCCTTTTCCAGAGTGATTCTCTTGCTTCGAGCATTGGGTATTAATCATGAAAGAACAAATTTGATTCTTCGGCCCGATGCTAGCATCACGACTCAGAGCCATCATTTGTGGCCGACTCTCTCTGACGAACAGTGGATAGACGTGGAAACGCAATTGCGCGATTTGATTTTGAATGATTATGCTAAGAAAAATAACGTCAATGTTCAATCATTGACTCAATCTGAGATTCGTGACTTGATTTTGGGGCAGGACATTGTTGCTCCTTCTGCAAAAAGACAGGAAATCGCTGATGTGGAAAAAAGTACTAAACCAGATACAGAGATGGCTAACGCCAACAACCAATTGACTGCTTTGAAAACCACCACGCAAAACATTCATGGGGAAGAAATAACCACTATCACAACCACGAACTACGAGCAACTGGATTTCAGCTCCAAGAATGAATGGAGAAACAGAGCAATTGCTGCGAACAATTTGCACTTGAGGACCAAAAACATATATGTCTCCTCAGATGATTTTGTTGACGATGGTAGCAATACATATGTCATGCCAAAAAACCTCCTCAAGAAGTTTGTGCAGATTTCGGATACCAGAACCCGAATTGGAGGTTATATTTACGGCTCGTCGCCTAAAGATAACAATCAAATCAAGGAGATTAAAGCAATTGCGTTGGTGCCACAGCTTGGTTCATCGCACTCTATACAGTTTCCAACCGTTCTTTTCGACAAGTCAAAGAATGATCTATTGCTGAAACTCGAACTTATTGGCTGGATACACACGCAAAGCCATGACTTGAATATGATGGGCCCGGTTGACGTTACTACTACTTCTAGTTTCAAGGTTAACAATGAGCTGGTTTGGAGACAAGACATGATCTCATTGACAGTTTCTCTCACGCCTGGGTCTGTGACATTAACAGCATATACAATGACGGAAGCAGGCTATGAATGGGGATCTACTAACAAGGATTTGGTTTCGAATGCACCCGCTGGCTTCAGCCCTGCGTTCAGCCAAAAGAGGCAATTAATACTCACTGATAGAGTTATGGGTGCGTTTTTGTGTCCTGACGATGGAATTTGGAACCACTCGTTCATCGGTCCCGTGTGGGATCCGAACAGTGTGTACGACCTCAAGTTGGACATACCGCTTCCATTTTATCATGAGTTGCATCGCCCGCTTCATTTTACAAATTTCACCGAAATCGAGGGAAACCAGTTAGAGGCCACTCAAGAAAATCACTTCTCGTGATGAGCATCATGTATATAGGGTAATTTCTTTCAATTAGTATCTGGAATAAAGACTGAGCTGTACCACATCACCAATGGCGTACAGAGATAACGTACTCGTCAATTTCCAGGAGCAATTTGCGAAGCTCACTTCTAGAAATGTTTTCCCGTAGAAGAAGCAACTCTAATGAATTCTGACCGTTCATGTACTTCAATAGTTTATAGAACACAGCGGTGAGTTCTGAAGAGAGACCACATTCTTCATATATGATCTTGTTAATCCATCTGCGCTCGAGGGAGGACGCTCTTCCAGGATCGACGAGAATAGTGTCGCCGTCGTCCTCAAGAACAAGGTCGGGTATGGAATTGTGAGCTTCAAATCTTTTCTGGAGTTTATCAATTTCCTCCTCGACCGATTCCAGCGATTCCGGATGTGTTGCTTTTTCCAGCGGGCCGGTTTGCTTCGAAGAGTTGTCGACTGCCAGGTGCATCTTATTGTCGACAGCAAAGATTTTCTTAGTACGCAAACCATCCGCATTTCGTTTCGGTGCCTTGCCAAGCTCTTCCTCGAGCTCCTCTTCGACTTTCATTTTGACTTTTTTCAGCACCTTGAGCCAGATGTACGTGTGCAACTGGGTCACATATCCGAACCTGACTAGCCATGCAAGCGCTGAAATGTACATGTCTTTGTGATCGCGTGAGGGAATGATAGATGCAAACTGTCTGGGTTTTCTGGACCTGGTGGAGAGAAGTCGGAGAAACAGCGGGAGCGAGGGCACGGTGGGAAACTGTTCATTGAACTTTACAATGTCCCTGTGAAAATTTGTACTAATGGGAGCCATAGGAGATACGATGTAGATCCCCCTGGTGTTGAGGGGAGGAATCACCCTGGCACGTCTCCAGTAGACCAAATGGAGTGCTAAAGACTTGATCTCTGCGACGCTTAATTGCGCCGAGGCACCTGCGTGGAGTCTAAGGGAATTGGCAATTTTAAGGAGTGACTCGGTGGGTCTTATCATGTGTACAAATCGAGCTAGGGCCGAGTGAGTCTCGGCCTTGATGTCTTTGATGATGACTTCCGGGTCGTCACAGAGAAGAAGAGCTAGATGCACAATATCATCGGGGTTTGCATTAATACCGTCGTCATCGTCCTCGGCGGTGTTTGGATCAGAACCGTTGGGTGTTAACCCGAGCAAAAGCTCCATGAGGTTAGTGTTGCTATACCGAGTAGTTTCACCGACATTCACTAAGCCTGCACGACCAAGACAGTTGATTGTGGACAGGAGGCACGAGCCAGGGATGTACGGGACAGTAGGCTCAGGCAAGGAGTGAAATTCCGTCTTCATCGGGATTTGGAATGACCGGGGCTTGCCATTGATGTTTAGGTTGGCGATCTGAGAGGCTGATATTGCCATGTGACACTCTGCCATCATTCTACAGAGTGGCAGATTTGCGAGAAGATGTGCTGTCATAGACGTAGTTTCCTTAAGCTCGGCGGATGCACGAAACTCATCTTTCAACTTCAGAATCATGCGTACTTGGAGCCACACAAAGTCGTTCTTCTGCTGCTCGTACCGCAACATGAGAGAGAGCTTAGATGTCACGTTGTAAAACATTTCGTCCACGCGATAGTTTCGCTCGATGTCTGGTGGGGACATCACAAACACTAAATGAAACATGCTCATGGCAGTGCCGGCGCGCAGCGATTCTGTCTCCGGCTCCTGAGGCATACCACCAGCGGGGTCTTCGACCAGATCCTGGCGCTCGCTTCTTGCTGTGGCGGTTCCGGTGGCAGCGGGCCTGTTTTTCTTGGCCCGCCAAGACCCGTTCGTGTCTACATGGACCGGTAGGCCCAAGAAAACCACGTTCTCAAGCATCACATCAAAGCGGCGATTGCACATCGCACGAGGCGGACAAAGCATCTCGCCCAATTGATCAGGCTCGAGGCCGAGAATCTGACCTGGCTTGGATATGCCCGATTTGGAGGCTGTATCCTTTGCCTTGAAGCCGCTGTCTGCCGTCCTCTTGCTCAATCCGCTTTTAACCGGGGGGTTTGTACCATCCAATTGTTCCGTGGAGTCACGGTAACTTTCGCGAGCAGTGAGGAACGTCATGAGGTCGTTTTTCGTGCCCAAGTAGTAGTTCGGGTGGCTTGGATCCCACAAGTGGCTGGTTTCGGCTTTCAGAAATTGGTTCTCGCCCGCGAGGTATTCGAATTCATCCGAGCTAGCCGCGTCGAAGTCCTCGTCGTCAAAATCGTCGTCTTCTGAGCGACTTTCTTCATCGGCTGTCCGGCTAACTAGCTGTCGCAGTGAGAGGTCATCTGGGTAGCTGAACGCTATCTGAGGCCCATTGTGTGTGCTAACTGCGAGGAGAATCCCAATAAACGACGGGTTGGGGAGATTATAGGACATGCAAGATCAAGCCTGGGCGCATCTGGCCAGGCTTGGGCGCACTTGGCTGACGATCATGTCAGCCGGGAGATACGCAGTCACGTGATCCAGCGTCGAGTCACGTGATCGTGGGTTTTGTGGCTCCCGGGCGCCCAGTTGGGAACACAAGAGCTGGCCGGCATTTGGAGTCTTTCTGATAGTTGTTGTTTGAGTTTTTTCTTCTTGGAGTGAACGGCTTGAGGCCCAAACAAAGCCATTGTGGCTGACCGAATCCTTCCTAAATGCGGGGAACATACCTGAAACAGAAAGCCCGACCCCAGGGCCTAAGGCGAGAACCATGAAACACGCATGTGACGACTTGTGAAACACGGCTCTTCGGAGCTCTGGGGTTTGTTTTAGCGGCTGGGCCACTATTTGGTGAGAAGTAGATTGAAAAAAGCGGCGGCTAATCAGATAGATTCGGCCCATGTATAGCTGTGCGGGTCCTGTACATAGTCGTGTTGGCTCTACTTTTAAGGTGTCATTAATCTGGCACCAAGTGATGCCCAAAAGTCTCAATCCGACATGGGTAGATAATGGAGCATAATGCAAGACAGTATTCCAGAGCAGCACTGTGAGAAGAAAAAAAGCTGTTGAATGCAGGGCTTGGTTGTGGGGCTGAATTTGGGTATTCCTGTAGAGGCGCGAGCTTCCTATGCATTCATTATAGATCAAGTACTGTCTGGGATGTACATATTGTTTAAAAAATTAACTTTTTCATTAGGCGATGTAATTATTGTTTACTCGGGTTTAGGGACTCGTGATTCATATAACATGTCTGGAATCAAGGGCAGAATCAGCTCTATGGATTTTGCGGCAATCTATGAAGCGCCGGTCGATGGAAAAGTGGAACCTCCATCTCGCCGTTCTGAAACAGATGAATCTTTTCTGAAATTGCCAATTTCCTCAGCGGTTGGGGGCGCTTTGTGTTCGGCTTGAAGCCCCCGAAAAGCTGCTCGAGCCTGAGAGGCGTAGTGGGAGTCTTAGGCAGGCTCATGTCGGATGAGCTAATCACGGCGTTCCCTGATCCCGCGACGACGGCATCAAAGATACATTTGGATACCCTTTGGGCGGTTTCGAATTCATACGTAGTATACAGACAACGGCTGTTTCGGGAGACATCGAGGCAACAGCCCGTGGTCGCCATAGCCGTCAGCAAATTTGATTTCCGGGAACCAACACCAGCCTTTCGACCATGGTGGCTCTCAAACAAGATCAGGTATAGTCTCGACCATGTCCATTGGCAATACGCATGGTTCACGCCGCATGGCAGATGCGAGCTCAGACCAGAGCCACAGCATTCGACCCAGCAGACACTCTTGCCACCTCCCGCAAGTAGGGCTGGCTCCAGAATAAGACTACGCATTCCTCGTCTCTTCATTGCAAGAAAGAAAAAAGAAACTCACATCTTGTGCTTCCTCTCCTTGTTGGCCATCTCCACGAAGCGGCCCTGCGGAACACCCTCGATCCAGCGGTTGAAGCCCACGATGGCCTCTTTGGCGTTCGCCGAGTTGACCATCTGGTCCCGGTTGGCCTTGAGGAGCTGCTTGTTGGCGAAAATCGAGGGCTCGTACAAGCCGTCGAATTTGCTCACGAGGTCCTCGAACACCACCTTGTTGAACTCCTCCGTGGAGTAGTTCTTGCCGTTGTACACCTTGTTGAAGAAGCCCAAGCGGTTCAAGTCCTGCCCGCTGACGGGCTTGGCGAACAACAACGCCTCGGCAGATTTGGACCAGCCCAATCTTAAGAAGAACGTGGCGGACGTGCCGCCCTCGGCCACCAAGCCCAAGTTCGAGAACGGCGCCAATAAGTTCACGCGGTCCTCGTCGATGGCATACACAATGTCGCAGAACGCCACCATGGCACTGGAGAGCCCAATGACCGGCCCGTTGAGCGCGGCTACAAGCACCTTCTTATGGTTGTGGCACAAGTCGGTGAGATACACGTTGCGCCCGGCGAAGTTCTGCAACCAGTACTCGTGTGAGAACATGACATCCGGGCCGGCCTTGGTCAAGGCCTTGTCGGCAAAATTGGCACCTGCAGAAAAGTACCGGCCTGTGGACTGGAGGAGCGTGCACACGGTGTCCTCCTCGTCGTCAGCCTGCTGGAGGTACTTGGCCAACTGGAGGTACTGCTGTCCGTTGAGCGCGTTCAATTTGTGGGGGATGTTGAGGGTGATGACCGTCACGCGCCCGCGCACCGCGTAGGTTATGGTGTCTTCGTGCGACATTGCTGGGGGGTGTGCGCGACTTGTTTTTATTGGGGAGTGGATTTGCAACTCTGGGTGGGTTTGCGACTCGGCGTGAATTTGCGGCCCTGGATTCGCGACTCTTTGTGGATTCGCAACTTTTTGTGGATTTGCAACTCGGCGTGGATTTGCAACACTGGGTGGATCCGCTTTTTGAATTGGCGTGAAATCCGCAAACGTGCAAAAAAGGTGTTTTCGGCGGGCTGGCTCGGGAACTGAGCGGCGCTGTCTCTAATGACACGTCAAAAGACTGGGAAGCAAGAGGCTGGATTCCGGGGAGACAGAATTCTAGGGATTTCCTGTTTTTCTGCTGATGGAAATACACGGTCGAAAAAAGCCAGTGTTGGAGCAGGCTTCCTCGGCTTTATATGGAGACGCACCTCGCAGGAACGGCCTGTGTGGGGAAACCCGCGGGTCCCGAAATCCTGCGCCAGGGCAAGATTTGACGAGAAGCCGAGGATGCGAAAACTCGTGGTTTGGAGACACGGCGTGCCGCTTTCTGGCGGCCTTGTTTCAGGCTACTATTTGAGGGCCCCGCTTGGCGACTGCCTGCCTTCTTTCGTTTTCCTTCGGCGCCGTCTGTCTTAGGGCATCATCTCAGCGGACCTATGTTTCTTTGCTAATTTTAATGGCCGCGGCCTTGGGGGTGCTCCTCGCAACCGAGGATACGGCTACTGAGGTGAAAAAATTCGATTGTCCGCGGAGAATGGTCTCCGGCAAAATTTGGCCGCTCGTGGAATCCGGTCTTTTCCAGATCGGGAAGCCAGCTTGCGCCCGAGGGGTAAATGCTGTCTATAGCGGCATTGTTGGCGTCTCTACCCAGCCGTAGTCTCAGCTGGCTAATAACGCAGGGTGCGGTGCGCTTTCTGGTGCGTTCGGGTGCCAGAAACCCGATGCTTTCTGTTGCTAAAAAAAGCTGTGATTTCCCGCTAAAGCACCAGTACTTTTTTAAAGAATCAGGTGTCGGGTTCTGAACGTGACGGGGATCCTTCCGTTCAAAGCCGTGGATCTCCATATGCAGTCCGCCACTGCTGGAACACATTATGGTCAAGACACAATTTTCACTGAGTGGGTCAAAGGTCGGCAGCTAGGCTTTGATATTGCTGATTTAGTGCGTGCAGCTCTCGGTCTATTTTGAATTGATCGACATGGACGGGATGCAACTCATTCGCAGACTCGATGTTCTCGGATACTCGGCTACGAGGGCAATCAGAGAAGAAGCACCTTTCATGATCTGACAGATGATTGATTTCCGCACTGGAGAATGGAGAAATCAACAAAGGCCGTTCGGGAACATGACGGGTCACAGAAAAAGAGGCAGCTAACGAATTGAAGCTGCAAGGGAGAGTGTGCTTTATAATTTGATGCGAAAAGATGGAAAATTCGAGCTATGCGTTGAACCTTGCGACTATTCCATCGAAGTCAGTGATATCGATTCCGCAAATTATCCCCAACGTTCCTGAGTTTTTGACCACCGAAATGCATTCATTTGTTATTCGAGCACTTCGTATCAGTCCAAGGCTCGGTTTAATTTCTTTGAAGTCAATCAACTCCCCGCTTGGTAGTTGCATCGGATCTGATGTCTTGTCGAATTTTTGATTCCAACGGGAAAACCCGTCAAGTCAAATGAGAGTGCACATTTTTGACGAGCTATCTACGTTGACAAGGCATGACAGTATTTAATTTGAGTATATCATAACCGTGCGAGGGCCAAAGCTCTCAAAAATAGGCAACTTTGTCATTAATATTCATCACCCAAGGACTTCAGCTGTTCCTCCAGGCCTTACTTGTCATGTTTCTACCCACCTTCGCTGTATTGCGGGCAAGCACATTAACATTTGGGGACACGGTGTTTCTTTCCAGGCTCATCTATTGGCAATGAGCTTCCTGATTCTCTCATTTGGCTACTTTCAGCTGTGGATCTTGGTTAAAACATCGGCAGAGTGAAAAATTTGCGTCGGCTTCAAACCACTAGTGTACGGCACATTTATCAGTTACTGGAAGCGACAAAACCCTAGCAAATTTGCACCTGACCGGCCAATGACTTTATGATATGTGCGCAAACTGTATGACAATCAAGAATACTTTTGACTGAGTTAATCAAACGTGAAAAGCTCAATTGGTAAACTTTTTCAAGTGTTTGTCATTTAAAATTTTACAAGCAAATGCAGCAATGTGCACAAGACAAAGCATATTGCAAATCAGACTGGAGATCATATTGATATTGCATGGGTGAATGGTTCGGCGCCATTCAAAAAGAGAAATGCTAGATTTATTCTGCTCATAGAATTTTTGACATACCCGAACTTTGAGTATCAGATTTCAAGAGTGTGATGATAGTGTATAGTACTTCACTGACCATACTCTCTTCACGAGCTCGCAGGTTAATTTATGTGCTCGAAATCGCAGAGTATTCAATAAATCTTAGTTCATACAATCCTTTAAGGACAAGCCTTGCATGATCGACTTCGGAGCTTCAAATGCTGGTTAAATATTTACGCAATTAGATAAGTGTTTGAGAAGAGCGACTTGCACATTGAAGGAATCTTCATAGATTACTATGGAAACACACCTGATATGCTGCAGTCAATTCGTGAGGCGTTTCAATTCATGTCGGAATGAGAAAGCATTACGTCCAAAAACAGGTCTTTATGAATGATGAGGTGCTGATCTTTTAACTAAAGTATGGAATCTGGGCCCATGGGCTGGGTATACTCTCAGAATTTGGCTAGCAAGCACTTCATGACAATATTGTGCTGTCTGAAACTCCTCAATTCTCCGATTTTTTTGACACGAATGCGTTCGCTTTCCTCCACTTCTACCAGAGTCTATATCAAATAAAATAAGGGGAAAAAACGAAAAGCTTCCGGAAATAAGACAATAGCACTGCAAATGAACATTCGCGGGCGGACTCGGGCTTAAGAGTTTTCAATGTGACCAAGTGTGGCATACAATATCAGGCTGTACTTTATTTAAGTCGAAAAAATGAACAGTTTGTCTTTGGTAAATTTCTTGTTCTCATAGAGCTTTCTTGTGTTTCGAGATAGAAACGGTATAAAGTTTGGTGCCACTTCGCTTAGAACTGACAGCGAACTCGTAGGATAGAAGCCGATGTACTACACTGCAATCTAATTGCTTATCTATCTCATTGTTTTCCCGTCTAGGCTTCTTCTTGGTTCTTGGACATGCATCTTTTATTTATGTCGAATTCCTCAATCTTTTCAATCGAGAGCCAGTGCTTCTATCTTCCAGCACTCCCACCCAAGGACGGGAGAATCTATCGCAAGACTTTCCAAAAATAAAGGTTTATTATGGAGACCTCTGGGGCTCTTTCTGGTCTAGGAAGAGACTTGTATTCTGGATTAAGAATTCTTTTTCCAAGTATCAAAAGCAGTTCTTTTGATAAGTTAAGAAATTTAAAATTACAAAGACTGCGCAAGTCAATTAACACCTTAGCTGTGAATGGTCCGAAAAAATGCAAAAGAGTAGTCGTTGAGAAAACCAAGGTTTGGCACTTTCAATCACAAACAACGGCAAAAACAAAACTAGTTGAAAACCCACGCCGAATTTCGTTCACTGAAACCTAGCTTGAAACACCCAAACGACGCAACGTACTATTGCAGCGGCGGTCACGTGCGCTTTATTCATTAATGCTGCTATACCCAGTGGCCCTTTCCTGCCCATTTTTGCCAAAACTGCAACCAGCCTTTCAAGTGGTGAGGTTTTTAGATTTACTGAGAAAAATTTTGTCCGGTCAGCCCAAATCTACCACGTGAAATAAGAATCTAATCGTGGCACACTAGGAAGGTCACCGCGCGCACCAATTTGGATTGATACCCTTAATTTTCGAAGTTCCTCTCCGTTTGCGAAGTTCGTCCCAAATTCTCCAAATTTCCCAGCATTTTTCCGATGCCTCCAAGTCCTTTATTGTCTACAGCTACTCCAAACCCTTTGGAATTAATATTAGTTGTATTATCTATATCATGTACAACACCTTTAGCAACAATAACACCGAGAACATCTATACACCTGTAACATTACAACACCAATAACGCCCATAATATCTGTAGCACCCATAACATCTATAAGCCCATAACATCCATAACATCTATAACGTCTATAACATCTATATCGTCTACAACATCTATAACGTCTATAACATTTATAGCACCTATAACACCAATAAGACCAATAACATCTATAACACCTATAACACCAAAACACCAAAACATCTATAACACCAATAAGACCAAAAGCACCATAACACCAAAACACCAAAACACCAAAACACCATAGCACCAAAACACCATAGCACCATAGCACCATAACATCACCTCACTCCAAATTCCCCAAACTCATATCATCTATATCCCCCAGACTGTCCAAAATCTCCACACCTATTACATCTCCAACATCCCAAAGGCCTGAACGCCACGCCCATCCTCGCACCCCATCCTCACACTCACACCCGTACACCACCCTGCCTCCCCCGCGCCGCGAGCTCAACTGTCAAAACACCTCCCTACTACCCCCTCTTTTCCCCCAGATGCCAGGCGCCGTCACATTCCCCCAAACTAAAGTACGCCCTGCAGCATACACGCGGCTTCGCGAGCACGTGCCCGTGGTGCCGCCTGCAGACAGTCGCCCGTTCCCCGAGGGCCGTCTTCGGGTAGCGTCGTTTGTGTACGGCGGCTCGCGCTACGTGTTGGCACGTGACTTGGCTGCCCTCTGGAACTACCCCTCGCTGTACCACGTGATCAAGCGGCTAGTGCGGCGGTCCGGCGTCAGCAAGACCGCGCTAGTGCGCGGCTCCGACGCGCCGCTCAACGCGGTGCTCGCGGACGCCGGCGTCATCCAGCCGCACGAGCAGAACACCTCTTTGTTCTGCATCCACCTCGCCACGCTCCAGCAGATCGTGGCGGAGCCCGCGGCGCTCGTGGACTTGCCGGGCCGGCGGGCGCACGTGCCCAGGGGCACCAAGCCGGCCGTGCCGGCGCCGGACGACGACACCATCACGCTCTCGCAGGTGTTCCCGAACCTCGGCGCCGTGGCCGCGTCGCTCCCGCCCACACATGCCACGTTTCTCGCGCTCACGCCGCTCACCAAGTTGCTGGTGTACAAGCACGAGGGCCTCTACCGCAAGGTGTACGGCACGGCGCTCAGCGCGCACGAGCGCGAGCTTCTCTCGCAGGCCAACAACTACGTGGGTGACAGCGACCGCACACCCGGCAGCAAGGCCGCCGGCGACGCGGGCCGCGCACGCAAGCCCTTGGGTCGCCTGAAGAAGTTCGTGGGCAACGTCGACCCGAACCAGATGGACGTGGCCGAGAACGTGTTGCCCGGCTGCGGCTACATCCCCGAGTTCAACGTCAACGCGCTCTGCAAGGTGCCCAACTACTTCGTGGCCAACAAGGAGATGGGCGCGCAGCAGGGCGCGCTCTTCCAGCCGCCACGGGCGCATTTGGCCGGCTTGGCCACCAAAGGCCGCAAGCCGCAGGACATGCCCAAGCAGCTCTATCTGCTCTTGTCCAACACGGACCAGGAGGCCTACCACTTCAAATACTACTACTTCAAGAGCTACCGCGGGCCCGGCTCCGGCAACTATAAGGACGCGGCGTTGGTCAACCGCATCAACAAGATCCGCCGCTTCCCGCCGGACGCGGCGCCCGTGTCCAACGCCAGCACCCACATCTCCGCAGGCCGCGTGACCAAGCCGCGCCGCCGCCGCGGCGACCTTCCCATCAAGGGCTTGACCCACGACTACTTCTCCCACGAGAACGTGGAGATCGTTGTGGAGCGCCAGCGCCGCTTTGCCGAGGACTTCGAGAACTTGGAGATGCTCCACAACAACGCGCTCTTCAACTTGTTGGTCAACGGCTACCGCGACGTGGCACGCGACACGTGGGACGCGTTCTACCAGTTCAAGATGATCGACTTCGAGAAGATCCACCTGCGCAAGCAGAAGGACGCACGCGCCGCGGCCCGCGCCGCTGACCCCATGGCGTTCCCTCCGTTGGCAAGAGACGTCTTGACTGCCCGCTTCCTGCTTCCGTCTGACTACGCCGAAATTATGGAGAAGCTTCCGTGTGAGTTGCGTGGGGAAGACGAGGACCCGGCCCATGCCTTGAGCGAGCCTGTGCGGTACGTGGCCCGCTACCCAGACAAGAACGTGCCTGAGATGTTGAACCAAATAGAAGTCATCAAGCTACCGAACGCCAATTCTATTGCGTGGGACAATATTCGGAAGTACAAGCGGGCTTGAAACTCTTGTGATTCCAAACTGGCCTGAGGCTCTCTTAGACTCTTCCACTAGCTTGAAGCTCTACAAAATCTGTGAGAAAGTTTTTATGGATTGAGATGGTATAGGATGCTGGAAATTTCCCGATGCTCGAGGCTTTTACAAAGTGGTACATGAACTTTCAATGGTTGTAAGCTCTACAGTCCCTGGTAACACAGGGCAAAACATGCGGTGGAACCAGTCCAGCGTGTATTTCAAGCCTGCGGTCAGCTGCGGTCTTTGAATATGTCAAAATCAGGCATGCCTTTCCGGCCCGTCTCACCCATGGTGAAGTTTTTGCCAATGTTGCTCCCCAAATACTTGTTGGTGATCTTGTAGTCGGGGATTCGGGGACTGGCCACGGCCAGCGTGAAGTCCAATTTCTTCGGCTTGAATCTCCTTTGCTCCTCGGACAAGACTACCACTTTGCGCTCTCCTGTGCGCGTGTTCACCATTTCCATGTGCGTAGAATAATCGATCACTTGTTTTTCAGTTTGCTCGTCGCGCGGGTCCTGGTCAATGAAAGGATTGGTTACTTTCATCCGTGGGATCTTATCTAGATCTTCGACCCTCATAAGATGCACAGGCCCATCGGAGTCAACAAACAGTTCAAATTGGGGGTTCTGCGCGATTCTTGGCTTTCGCAACGGTGTGTGGGGTGTATTATTTGCGTCGTGCCTGTCTGGCAGATCTTCAAGCAGCTTCTTCGCCTCGAAAAGCGTCATTTCGGCAATTCCTGAGCTGGTGACTGGTGCATTCTGGCCAGTGGAAAATAAACTGACATTCAGTTGAAGTGCCGGGGAGAAATACGTTCCTGAATTCTTGAGACACTTACCAAAATCATTTTTGAACTCAGGGGCTTCAAGAAGCCCATTCGCTTTGGACGCGTCCTTCTCGGAAGGCTCTTTCGATGGCTGATCGCGTATAGCCTGGAGGCTTGCGAGCAAGGACCTTGACTTTGCAATGGGCCGCAAGTAGCCTGTTTCGCCTCGGGGTTTACGGCCTGTTCCAATAGTCAGTGGCGTTGGCATGAGAAACTGCGGTTTCGAAGTCGATAGCGGTGTGATGGGGGTCGTTGCAGACGAGTTTTGTTCCGAAAAAACGGAACAATCACTATTTTCGGGCGAATCCAAGGGTTTGGGAAGCCCGCCATCACAGGCCCATTCCTTTCCCAGAAAAGGCGACCTCTTGGATGCTCGTGAAAATTTGTCTCTTTCAAATGAAAGCCTTTTTCGCAGTGCGCTAGCTGATTTGGGAGTGTAGGATCCCATGGCCAGAGCCTTTGGTCTAGTTGGTGTTGAAGGCGCAGCAGACATGTCGTAATCGCTAGCAACTTCTTTGATATCTGGAAGGAATTCTAAGTTCACTAAACTCCGTAAATTGGGTTGAATGAAGAAAAAAGCTTCTTGCCTTGATTTATGTGTGACGGTGCTCAAGTGCAAGGATGTGAAACGAAAGCAAACGTTGTATCAGATTCTGAACATGAAACACCAGGTGTTCTGATGAGACGCGCATGACAGACCAGAATCTTTTTTGGTCCATGCTGGATGAGTTATGTACACACTTCATGTGAGAGCCCATCTATAAACGAATAATATTCAATTCTTTCCGTCAACCATATCCCACTGGTGAAGAGAGGAGCTGGAGGCTTAGTGTCCTTTTGTTTAAAATGTGATTATTTTGCCTTCTATGTTAATCTACACATATAGGTTCAAAGTCATTCCCGAGGAGTAATTTATGCATGACCATCATTCGTAATTGCATTCATCGTTTCAGTGTACAATTTACAAGTCGTATTTGAAGTTTGACTGAGAGTACATGCGAAGAACATTGAATGACTCAGTCCCATAGTCTTATATCATTAATTCTATGCTTCTTGAAATGATTTACCAACCCACACTGATTATCACGGCCGTCTTGTTCTATATTTCCTTGGTTTCAGATTTGAGGGAAGTTGAACGCATTTCCGATTACGAAATTCATCTCTAATGAAAAAAGGCAATTTTAAACAGATAAAATGATGTGTATATAAAATAGATTTGGTATGAAATTCGAGAAGACGGGGTTTGCGGAGGCATTCTATATGTTGAAATATCCATCATGATTTGTGATGGATATGGCCTCCGATGAAGCCTGGCAGGAATCTTTACTTGAGCATCTCAGGATCAACAGTGTTGTTTCTGGAGAAAGAGGCATATTTCTCGAAATTATCCGTTCTTTCCAAATCATACTCCGGGTTCTTGGCCTTAGCCTTCAAATTGCGTCTGCGCTTGTAAATTCTTTTCATCCACTTCCACATTTCACAGCCAGCAAGATAAAGAAGACTGAAAGCGAATGCAAAGCCCCACTCTTGACCAATGGGCGCATGCAAAAACACTTTATCGTTGATGACTGGAATGTAAACAACGGGGAACACCGAAACAAATCCGCCAATGACTGACCAGAACAAAAATTGGTTTGCCCAAAGATCGATTGCTGTTTGTTTCCACCATGGATTGTCGGTTTCTTGTCTCATGTGAAACAAAGAATTGTCTGGGTGAATACATTCCCAAGCCAAGATAAGAGCGCCCCATGTCATGATAGCAAACGATGTGGATCTGCCTCTAAAAGCCAAGTTACAAAGGTCCAGGTCCGCACCGGTACTGTTACAGCCCAGACCAAGATCACCATCTCCGACAGCAAAAACGACCATTGTAAATCCAAGCATACAGCAGGCAGCCATCCAGATTCCGTAAGCCATCATATCAGCCAAAAGCTCTTTGGTGAACACTCTTCTTGTAGGGGGCTGCTCCAAAATTCCGTCGACGGCCTGTTCTTGACCCAATCCCATGGCTGGGAAACTCGAGGTCACCAACAACACCCACAACACCTCAACCGGGGACAAGGGAAAAACGGAAAAGCCAGACTTGTCTTTAAAAGCCAATCCAACCACCAAGTAGAACGCCTGTGCAACATTCTCAGCCAAAAGCTGTAAAATAAATTTCTGGATGTTTGCGGCCATACGACGTCCTTCTTCAATAGCATTCAAAATCGATGAGAAATTGTCGTCGGTCAAAACAATGTCTGAAGCGTCTTTGGCGACGTCAGATCCATTGAGTCCCATAGCAATACCAACATCTGCTTTCTTCAAAGAAGGCGAGTCATTGACACCGTCACCTGTCATGGCACAGTACTTATCACGACGATGTAAAGCTTCAATCATACGAACTTTTGTTTGTGGTGCGCACCGTGCAATAACCAAAGGCAATACAGGCAAAGCATCAATCTGTTCGTCAGTCAAGGCGTCAAAATCAGTGGCCGTCATACACATGGCCTTGACCACATCTTCGCTGTAATGATACAAATTGGAAGGGATAATTCCGACTTCTTGGGCAATTGCCTTAGCTGTGGATGGATGATCTCCAGTGACCATGTGGACGTTAATTCCAGCCTTGTGGCATAATTTCACAGAGTGAGCTGTCTCAAGTCTAGGTGGATCGTAGATACCAACCAAACCATGGAAGGTCAAATCAGTCTCAATGGAGCTACGGTCCTTCAAGTCGTCTTTTCCGTCAACGAAGTCTCTAGAGGCAAACGCCAATACACGCAAGCCCTGAGTCGACAAGGAGTTCATGTTGTCCTCGATTTCTTTCCTGTGCTCGTCGGTCATTGAGATGAGCTCGGAGGTATCGGTTAATTCTTCTGTGTTTCCCGTCCAACGTGTACATCTTTCTAAGATCCGCTCAACAGCTCCCTTTGTGAAAATTTTTGTTCTATCATTCATTTTGTAGACAGCAGTCATCCTCTTGATTGAGGAGTCAAAGGGAAATTCCTCGATGTGCTCAAAACCCTGAGCGATTTCATCTCTCGCGTATCCCAACCTGCAGCAAAAAACTTGGATAGCAATTTCTGTGGCATCTCCATGTGCCTTCCAAACGAGCTCACCGGAAGTCTCGTCCTTGGACTCAGAAACCGTGGCAATATTAGCCAAGGTGGCAACGTTGATCCAGTTTTTGAAATTCTTAGCGAACGAGACGGCGTTTTGTCTCTCGAGAGGCTTGAAATCGACTTCCTCGTCGGTCTCACTTATAAAATGAGGGGAGAACTTAGTGTGGGACAAGTCTCCTACAGTGGGGTTAAAAGGCTCATTGATGTTGTCCATGGCAAATGTTCCAACAGAAGGAACCCATACTTTCTTGGCAATCATCTTTCCTTGCGTCAAAGTTCCGGTTTTGTCCGAGCAAATGTCGTCAATACCACCCAATGCCTCCAAGGAATCCAATTTACGCACAATAACGTTCTTCGTGACCATGACTTGAGCGCCCACCGCCATAGTGACAGTCAACACTACGATCAAGGCCGAAGGGATCATAGCCAAGGCGACGGAAATGGCGTAGATCGCGACCTCCTTGGTCACGTCAAATTTTTGCGATGCCATGACCACGATGGCGAAGATAACAGCGATCCAAAACAACTCAATAGCAAGCCACGACAATGTCTTTTGCAAAGGCGTACCCTGGGATACACCCAAAAAGTTACCGATAATATCCTTCATGGTACCAAATACGGCATGCGTATATTCCTTTGAGGATGGCTTGCGGCCATCGGTTTTGTCGACCTTACGGATGAGTCCCGTGTTGGACTTCAAAGACTGAGCAATCTTTCCGATCTCAGTGTCTAAACCAGTGGAAACGGCCACACCGCTTCCACGCCCCTTGGACACGACAGAAGACGAGAAAACCATATTCAAACGGTCTCCCACCGGCACAGGAACAGAGTCTGTGTAGACATCATTCGCGTTCTTAGCTACTGGCAAGGACTCACCGGTCAAAAGGGCCTCGTCGGTCTCCAAGTTCATAATGTCGATCAAACGCAAGTCGGCGGGAATGGTGTCGCCAACCTTGACGTGAACAAGGTCGCCGGGCACGACCTCTTCGGTAGCAATGGTCAAGTCGTCGCCATTTCTGGTGACACGAGCCGTTGGCGAGGACAACGAGCGAAGCGAGCCCATTGTCTTCTCGGCCTTCATCTCCTGGTAAAAGCCGATTCCGATATTAATAACAACCACAGCAGCAATGACACCGCCGGAAATCCAATCCTGGATCGCAAGCGCAATCACCATGGAGATGATGAGTACCATGATCATGGCATTGAATGTCTGGTGCGCCAAAATCTTGGTGTAGCTGATGGAGTCGGCCTCACCGAGCGTATTGGCGCCGTACTGGCGAAAAGACTCCTCGACCTGGCTGGTCGTCAAGCCCTGGGTGCCGTCTGTGTGGAAGTTGGCAAGCACGCGAGTCGCCGAAAGCCTGTACGGCTGGAACTCGGTGGTCTTAGTGACTGCGGTGGACGACGACGACGCGTCGTCTGAGCCCGTGCTTCCTATCTTTCGATGATCTTGTAAATCATTATTTGATGCCATCACCGTTTAGGGGGAAAAAAATACGATGGATGAAAAATTAGTTCGATTCTGGCAGCTTTTTTCCGATGGGGCGAACCGTGCGACTTATGTAGTGCGGCAGTGCTCGCCGCGATAAGAGGGCCAGTTGACCAAGCGTATTTTTGTGGATGCGCGCCTCGCGTAACTGCGGTGGCAACTGCGGACCACGCACGGAACCCTTGAAACCAGTGCACCCCTTTTTTTTTGCCCCTGAGTGCCATTTCTCTATTAGCCGCCGACCTGGCGGCCTGGGACCATCGCAAGATTCTCCTGTTTTTTGCTGCCCAATTGTCAAGATTGCTGTCCTGGGACAAGACCGGCCCGTGCCAAGAACAAATGGCTCTATCAGCGGTTAGGTGCCCGGGGCCAGCACTATTGGTTGCACTTCTTCCGGCATGGATGCCCACGTGGCTATGGTGATGTGGGGCTGGCGAATAGTGGGAGGTGCACAGAGAAGAGGCGGTATTGGATCACGTGACTTGGCGCCTAGCGGCCTGGTTTACATGGTGCCTATTAAGCCCTGGTCGTATACGGTGGTGTGCGCTTCAAACCCAGGCTGCAAAGGGCCGTGGGGAACACAGCCCCCAATCCGGCATGTGAGCCAGCAAATGAGTGCAAACCTCCATTTGCAGTCGCCTGCACACAGAGACCCGTTTGGACGCGGGCTCTTCGCGCACGTAATCTGGGTGCTTTTCCTAATCGGGCAGGGCCATATTTTGGTCCAGCCTCGCGCCGGCAAAATGCACGATACGAATTGGGGCTTCGGAGGCCTTTGGCATGGACGGGCTGTTGTGCAACAATAAGGCCGCAGCGCAATCCACAATTGCGCCGGGCTGTCCTGTGTGGGGCCGTTTGTCTTGCCGCTTGCTGGACTGGCTGGTGCCTGCACCCATGGCCGGTTCATACAGTCGTGGTTGTTGGGCAATTCGCAGAATCCTGCCTGGCTCGTGGAAAGGCAAGGCGTGACGAGACACTGGTCGTGTGACGTCATTGCCATATTAGGAAATGCGGAGATGATTTCTCATCGATGATAAGAAAGGCTTCTCCATGTAGACTGGAGAACTTCCCCAGTACAGGACCCGATGGTACAGGATGCTGATAGGCTTTTGACAGAAGTTCGCTTGTCAATCGAATTTTGACAGAAGTTCGCCTGTCAAACGGCTTTTGACGGAAGTTCGCTTGACACAAATTTTCGACGTGCTTTCTTGTTTAAGCTTTCGATGCCCGTCATGTCTTGGCATTGAATCTAGTCGCTGCAAACAGCAAACATTTATTTTGATTACGATCCAAGAACACCCTTTTCAAACGAGGAGCCATTTGCAAGACTAGAGGGTACTGGAAGAACACCCGTGCAATACTCCAACAGAATGGGACATGAATGGCAGATCAAGTCAACTGTTTGAGTCCGGCTCGATATTGCGTCAAGCTGCCACGATCAACAAGCTCTTCGAGCTGCTTAAAAAGCAAGAAGAGTGGCCAGATCAAAAATCTTGAAAGCTTCAAATTGGAATTCGCAGCCGATTTTGTCTCCATGGTTTCATCTGATGATAGACACTACCCTTGCTGTCGGCGTGTCCAAACAAAGCCTGCCTTCTTACCGTCAGATGTGGCACGGACATCTGCGTTCAGCAATCATAATCCCAAGCGGCGCACAGACTGATGCTGTGAGTTACAATTCAGAACAGGAAAAGAGCATTTAGAACGGGTCATTCTGCTTGGCTGCTCTGACTAAACTGAACGATATAAGGGTAGTCTCGTAACATAAGCGAGCAAGAGACAGTATTTGTGACAATGGGTGATCTGCGGAGTCGAAGCACATTTTGATATCAAAAACAATTCTGAAAGGGCGCATATTCTATTGCGCACATGGATACCAGCATATGGCCGAGAGCTCAGTTCTGTGAAAAACAAACACATTCTACACAGGTTAAATTAGGAAACATTAGGGTTTCTTCACGAGAGGAAGGACGAAGTTATCTACATTTGTGTCGCAAATTTAACTTTCTCCCACTTTTCAGCACTACGACACATCTCACTAGTTTTCCGCAGACATGGCTATTATGCGAATCAATCATAACGGCAACTTTCAGAAGACTTACTTCAGCAAGACGGTTCCAAAACTGACTTGAAAGACCGCATATATTTTAAGGACTCTGGTCAGCAAGGGCTTTCAAAGTGACGGAAGGGATGTTGAAACTCAAAAGTCCCCGACCTTAATGTGGACTTTGAAGAATTTGCTTACCTTTAGCGTTCTTTTCAACACAGACAGTTCTATGAAGGCTTTTGTGATACACAAGCCTCGATAATATGAGCCGCTACAAGGCCCAGTCCAAATAGTATTCCTTTAAAGTTTTGTGGAAAAAAGAAGGATTCCGCGGGAAAAAATTAATACTAAAAACCGAAATTGCGTGAGCCAATTTAGCAGAATCACCAAGAAACTACTAGACTCGTGTCCAAGTCGTGTCTACTTTGCATAAATTCGCGCCGCTCGTGGCTTTGGTTACAACACGACCGGTTGCACCATATATCTATACGGCGCGTATTTCCAGAATTGCAAAGAACTAGGGAAGCAAGTGCACTGCCGTAAAACAAGAGTAACCAGAGCCACGAGCTTGTCCTGCTTCGAAACACTTCAAAATGCTGTTCCTGCACTCAAAGGTTTGTCCTCGTATCCTATTCTATGTTTATCGAGTATTGAATGGCCACATACCACCGATGATTTGAGGACCCAAAACTCAGCTGTTCTTCCCGCACTTTGATACACCAATCTGGCAAACTTACCTCACAGTATCTAACCGCTCACATCTACGCAGATTGTGGGTCATCAGAAGGACCCAGCGGCACAGGAGCACCCCTGGCGGCCCGTCACGTGCCGGGGTCACGTGCGCGTGTGGTGGCGCACCTGGTGCGCGTGAGCCCCTGCGTGTCACGTGCCAGGAAATTCCAGGTTCAAACGTGGTAGGAGGAACTACAACACAGGAACACACATATAGTTCAAGTGGAACAAAGGAGAACGCTTCGCTGATCTTAACCCCTCGTGCTTTTCAAAACAAGTTCTGAATCTCAAGGCCTCTAGTGAGAATGTCGTTTGCAGACTCTTTCTGGACCGAGGACTATCATCTGGGCCACAGAGTGCTCTTTGACGAGCTCTACGAAGGCGTAAAGGAAAACGAAGACTTCATTGCGCTTTTCACCCGTCGCATGGACCTGGAATTCCGGTACGGCATTGAGCTAGAAAATACGCCGTCGTCTCTAAAACTTTTGAGCACGCGGCACACCAACGATGACTATGTCTCCACTGTTAAAAACGCGTTTGATGAGCTTGGCCTGAACTTCCAGAGCGAGGGAGCACAGCACACGGCCATTGCAGTGAACATCCGTGAGTTGGTGCTCACCCCCTTCACAAGCTGGTGTAAGGAACATGAACAACGCGTTGGTTTCCTGGAGCTGGTGATCTCTGAGAAGTACAAGCAATACAGCACGGCAAAAGCTGCGTTGGAGAAGTTGCAGAAAAAGTATTTCAACAAATGCAGACTCGTGGAGGACTTCAAAACTCACTACACAGAAGAAGAGCTCGACCAGTTGCTCGCAGAAAGTCTGGTAGACGAGGATCAATCTTCGGAAACGGGTGACGGCTCAAACGACCTGGATCTGGAGGTGAAATACACTTTTGGCGGCGCCCACTTCACCCAAGCCACAACAAAGCAATTACTTGCCGATATTCTCACGAGCGTGGAGTTGATCTCGCACAAAGTGGCCATTCTTGGTACCTACCACAACGTTTCCAAAGGCAGTGCCATAACTCAGTGGCTCCTCGACAACTTGCCTGAGCTTAGAGGGAGTGTGGCCAAGGCGGAGGAATTCGGCCAGGACTTGATTACTCATGGGTTTATCCGCATGATCGGATCCATGAGTGCAAACAAAAACTTCATCAACTCGTCGCAGTTCTACTATCAGTGGAGGCCCCTGGTGTTTGAGCTTACTAAGCTCTCGGAATTTGACTTGTCTCGGTCACTGAAAAAGGACAACTATGACCCGATTGCTGCGCTGGGAAGCAGGACAAACCAATTCTCCACGTATTTGGAGGATATGAAGCAGGCTATCGGCGTAGCTGCAGTCGATTATAACGACAAGTCGCAGTATGCAAAGCTTGTGCATGAGGTGAACTCTTTAGATGCGCAGTACTTTGAAACCACAAAGCAGTTGGACACAGTGCGCTGTGAGTTCGAGGAAACTGCCATGGACCACTTGGCGTTTATGCAGAAGTGCGAGTTGGATCGGTTGAAAGCCATCAAAAAGGTCACGTTTGATTTCATTGCCACGTTTTCAAACAAGATCAGCTCAATGAAGTACTCATGTGACAAGTTACTTCTTGTTGAAGAGACGATTCATCCTGTGAGCGACCTCAAGTTCCTAATTGAAAATTATGCTACAGGTAAATTCCTGCCCCATGTGACATTATACGATAACTACTACAACTCGAATATCAAGCAGACTTTTGGAGTTGACCTCAACGTGAAGGCGAGATTAGACAAGAAAGCCGTGCCGCTCTTAATCCATGCCGTGCTCTCACACCTAGACTCAATTTATCCAGAACTAGAAAACGACGAGGAGAGAGTGAATCTTTGGACCAAGCCTGTCCACTTATCGAAAGTCCATCAGGTAAGACAACAATTAAATGAACTTACCGAGATTCTGCAAGTTTCTGAAATTTTGAAAGCCAGTGAGCCCATGATAGTGACAAATGTTCTCAAGCTTTATTTCATGGAGTTGCCCGATTCAATTGTGTCCCACACATTCTTTGACTTGATCAAGACGCTCTACCAAAACTATCCTGTGGGAAGTGAGGAATCCCATGCAGACAAATCCAGAGTGACTGGTTTGCAAAATACATTGATTGAGTTACCGGTGTGCAATTTGGCTACACTTGATGCCCTATTAACACATTTGAATCGTCTCGTGAAGATCATAAGCTCTAAGAACGAAGACTTGAGTTCTTCGTTACGCGACAGACTTTGTCGTGAATTTGGCGCTTTTGTTTTAAGACCTAAACAAGGATCGGCAGAGATTGAAGGGAAAAGTGTGCATGCATTCAATATGGCCACCGAAAACCTTCAACAAAACTTCATTGCAGACTTGTTTATACACAAAGATGTGATTTTTGGGGAATTGAGACGTCGGAACTCGCAAAAACCCCTGAGAAATAATTCAGTGAAAAGCGATGGAGTTAATTCTGCCTCTTCAAAGTTAAGGTTGAAACAAAGCTCAAAGTCAAGATTGGAGTCCAGAATGAAGAGCGCAGTACAGAATGCACATGAGAATCCTCAAGAAAAGAGACAAGACAGTGATGTCGATGTGGCTGAGCCAGCTCTGCCATCCACGCCGCCCCCACCGACACCTTCAAAATCAGCGACATCTGGTGGTGGTTCTGTACTCAGACGCTCTACTTCTCCAAACAAGAAGAAACTCAACACATATTTGGACAAGCAAACCAGTTCCATGCGCTCGTCTGAGTCGGCCAAAAGAAATTCAATGTACAGCTCTGCCAATTCTTCTCAAACAGATCACTCTCGTGATGGAAATGAAGCTCAAAAGAATAGTAGAAGCAAAGAAAACATATCTGGAACTGAAAAGTCTTTATCAAAGCAAAAAGAGCGGAACGAAGCAGACACAGACCAGGTGATAGTTGTGGATTAGATATTTGGCTGACCGACACTTTCCAAGTTTAAGAAATTGGTAGACTTCCTTAAAGGATTCTGAAGTGCATGTGGTCAATGCCCTATTAAATTGCAATTTGAATTTTGAAAACTCCATGATTTGAAAGAAATACTCCATTTGATCAACTAACATCGCTTTTACTTTGCTTGATGAGAAAAGACTGACAAATGCGCTAGACGATCAGAGGATGTAGTGCAACAGCGTTGTTGAATATATATTCAGCGTACTCAGTTGCCAGAATCTCAAATTGAAATTCTGATGTGCCATTGGTCAGCAACCCTTCTGATGTTGCATGTTGCTCAAAATCTTATATATTTATTTACATCCTCATGTATCATCTAAATATCCTCCAGACTGAAACTTTGGCGAAACCACAATGGTTTCGATGAAAAAAAAAAAAGTGGAATTGGGACTGCGAAATTTGCTACAGACACTAAATATTGTTGTCAACTAAAAGTGAGAAACCAGTAAGATTAAAAAAAATGAATTGTTTCTGACAATAAACTCCCGCTAGTGCATTAAAACCAGACAAAAAGATAATTGAAAAAGGTCGTACCCGGATTCGAACCGGGGTTGTTCGGATCAAAACCGAAAGTGATAACCACTACACTATACAACCACTTGATGTTCTGAAAAGAAACAAATTGTTCATATGGACTCGAATAGACTTGCAAAGAGCCTTTATTGAATGTTGTGCCCTTATGCACATCTTTTTACTTTCGATTCATGCGCCTTCTTGAGATTTCAGCGTAGCTTCCAATTTTTGTGGTAAATAGTCCGCGGGAGCTGTTTAAAGATTTTTTATATATATTTGTTATATAGTTTTGCCCCTTTAATCAGATGAATCTACCAAAAAAAAAGTTTGCTTCAATAAGTCTAGAGCGGTACTATCCCAACTGGGAACACTTATTCACCTGCTCATTTTCATTTTTTGCTTATGGTGATCAAAAACCGAGGATGATAGTAAAGAATTGAAATAGATTGTAAGAAACAAAATACATAAATATTAGTAAAGTAAAAAGTCTTCCATCAACTTCAGCAACCGAGAGCGTCATACCCTTAAAGTGTTACTTATCATTGATGTAGTCCATGAGCGAATGGAGAACGTTTTCCAAAGAAGAATAGAATGTGCAATAATCGTTTATGTCCACAAAATTGTTGCGCAAGTCGTAATATATCTTGTTGTTCAAATGTATGAGCTCAGTTTTCATATTATTGTTTTCCTCTTTATTGATTCGATTCCCGACTTGGCCTGAAATCTCATCAGTGACGTGGTTAGGACTCATACCTACAGCTGAACCATAATCAAACGCATTTCGCTCATTTTGGAATGATGTTTCACGGTTAAATGAAGACTCATCTTCAGCGTGTGGTGGCATAAGAGTCTGACCATTAACAACCATTGCAGGCTGGGGTACATCCATTATAGTGAACAATTCACTTGTGTTCAAGATACCCGCGACTTGATGATCCAAAAATTCAATTGCACATCCGCTAGCATTGCCGTTGGGAGGAGTTATACGTTTCACAACATTATACTTTTTTAGAATATATTCCCAAGTAGCATTGGTCAAGGATAACATTCTCTTGTACTTCTCATTTTTGAAATACTTGCGGTTGAGAATGAACAAGGTTTTGTTCACTAGCTTAACAAAGACAACTAGCTCAGTGTTCCCCATATACTCGTACTTGAGTTTAACACTCATAATTGCGAGAAGCAAAATTATTGAGTCTAATGGTATAGTTCGCTTCACGTACCAATTGAACTTTCCAAACTTAATAAAATCATTGTACTTCAAGAAATCATTCAAATTGTGCAAAATCGAGGGAATGAGGTTAGTCAGCAAATCATTATATGAGAACAGCTCATTCTGACTGAATCGAAGAAGACCTATTGACGAGTCTTGGAAGTTCTTTATTATGTTTGATTCTTGAATACGGCCAAAGGTATCTTCATACTGATTCAAAGATAAGGGTCCGCTCCTCAGAGTCCACGAAGCCACTTGCAATGAGCCATTTTCCACAGAGTCGCTGTGCCGATCTGTGAGAAGAATTTTTTTGTGCAAAAGCATCAATGCTCTGTCAGCAAAACTCCAAGAATGATGTTTCACAAAATTAAACATATTCATTTCAGCCACTGACTTTGGTGGGTTTTTCTTGAAATGAGTATTGATTTCCAATACTGCCTGGTGAATGAAAACAAATAGTGAAGAAATCTGGTCTCTGATTGTGTCAATCTCTTGACTTGAAATGTTTGAGGCAAGGCCGTTGTGCAATTGATAGACCAAATCGCTCAAGATTCGATCAAAGCGAAACTTCACACACATAGCAAGAGTGCTAACATTCAATTTTTTCCCAGCCAAAGAACCATTTTCACTAAATATTGGATCGTAATGATCCGGTATTTCCACATTGAAGTCAGAAAACCTGCAAACGGGAGGCAAGCAAAAATTGTGACTACTCAATGCATCAAGTCCAAAAATGACCCACCAAAGCTTGCGTCTGAAACCAACAACTTTCCAGTCCTGAATGCGAAGCGTCTTCACGGGGTCCTTATGCAAGTGCAAGAATTTAGCATAGCGGATGATCTGCGACATCTCCATGGTCGATGGATTGGGCGATGTAGACTGTATGATGACATTTCCAAGAAGCAATGGTGTCGACTTGAGACCATGCGGGTAGTTATAATGTTGACATATTTTGTTGAAGGCCTTCAAGTACCTGTCAATATCCTGGTTGAGGAGAAGATTGTCGTACTCCTCAAACTCGGAGATAGTAGATGCGTACATCACAGGGAAGTAGAGCGTGTAAAATTGAAGAAACTCGAAGTTTTCAGTGTCATCTTGAGAAGACGCTGGGGAGCTTCCATCAGGATCCATGCGAGCCCAAAACCGCTCATGCTCACGAACAAACTCGTCCATGTTCACCAAGATAGGAAGAAGGTCATGTACGGAATACAAGTAGCGCTGAACAAGCTCGAAGGACCTTTCGCGTTTCGGGAGGTGACTTATAAGACTCAGGAAAATATCACCATTGTGGTAGTTAACATTTGTGCCGTACAAATAGTTTACGGTGGTAGCAGGGTTTGATGAGTAGGGGTTCAACGAGTTTTCCTGTGCAGATCCAAGCGGAGCCAGATGCTGTTTGGACGCAGTGAGAGAGGTAGACATGTTAGTCGTGAGCACATTGCTCGACGTGGGCCCGTCCACGAAGTTGGCAAAAGCCGTAGATGGGGAAGTCACTTTCTGGGGAACGGGCCGGAGGATGTGGCCCGCAATGTTTGCTGAAGCCTCTGAAACTGACGGGGCAGGGGGCTGAGCGTGTGGATCCACTGCCGACTGCTTTCTTGGCGCAAGGCTTCCGCAATTGTCTGGTTTTATTTTACCGGGAAACCCCGATGATATGTGGGGCGACTTCAAGCCGCTGGTGAATTCCATTTCCTGAAGTGGGGTGTAACACATGGGGGCCATGGATAGCGCGTATGGGTCTTCGGAAGCACCCGTGTTGCTGGAGGTCGAGTGGTAGTTGGTGTGGAAGAACTTGTTACTGATGTTGCTGACAGAGTCTGTTGACGGGACGTGGCACACGGCGCCAGCGCCGGTGTATTCTGCACCGAGACCGAAGGCTAAAGTGTGCTCCGGTGGCTCAAGCGGCATGGGATGTCCAGCGGGCTCGGCCTGCGAGAACCCGTTCTCAGAAAAGCCGGGCAACTTGGGCACTGTCTCGGGCGAGAGCAGCGATCCGGAATAGCTCGTGAGGCCGGCCACAGAGCCGCGCGAGCCGTCGGGGTGCGCCAGGTACACGGACCCTGAGGTGGACACTGACATACGTGTTGCGGTGTCATTGGCGGCGTGTGCCTGTGCATCGAGCGACAGTGCTCGCGTGTGGGGCGGCGAGGGGTCGGTGGCAGCGGTCTGGGCAAGTGCTTGGTCCAGGCCAGGCTGCGTGGTCCGGTCTGATCCCAGGCCCAGTGTCCGGCGCGCTGTCGGAGTGCGGCCACCGCGGCTGACCCGCTTGTTGACGAAGTAGCGGCACTCGGAATCGGAGCGCAGGCAGCTGGCACACACTGGGTGGTCGCGGGAGCACTTGATTTTCTTTTTGTGGCAGGCCACACAGCTATGCACTTTGCGCTGGCGAGACCGCTGGTGTTTTATGACGTTGCCGTCCGCGAGCACAGTCATGGCGGCGGCCGTGGCGGCGGCGGTGTCCGGCTGCGAGTGGCCGGGCTCGCCTGTTTGAGAGGAAAGGGTGGGTCTGGAAAGCGTGGCATCAAAGGCAGTGCCGGAGTAGGGCGATATGAGCGAGGCGCCAGAGGCGTCGCTGGCAGCTACTTCCATTGTTCGAGGCAACGGAGAGTGTGGCCAGCGTGGGGGCAGCTTGCGTGATAAGGGGTGAAAAAAGGCCGCAGCAAGGAGATGGGAACTAGCAAGCGAGAAAAAGCGCAGGACACGAAAAGAGGCGCGGGAACCAAAAGGATTCGCGGACTTAGAAGGACGGAGTGGACCGTAGCAACCTGAAGGGCGGGGCTGCCAAATGACGGCTGATGAAAGTGCGCGGGGCTGACGGGGCGTAGGGTCAGTGAGCGCGGGGCCCGTGATACGGGGATAGTATGGGGCCGATCTGAAGTTCGGAGATAGGCCGGAGGGGCTCGGGACGACTACTTCGGTCAGCTCCGAACAGTCCGGGGCGCGGGGCAAGTGTAGCTTCAAAAAAAAAAACACGGAATCTGAGGAGACAGAAAGTCGGAAAGAAGCAAGGGGTGCTTCTCTCTATTTTTTGCTTACTCGATTCTTTAGCGCCCGAAAAAGCCTGTGGTGCTGCGAAAATAGCCGGGGTTAGGAGTGCGGTCACTCAACGGCCGGCGTTAGGAGTGCGGTCACTCAACGGCCGGCGTTAAGAGTCACGCAGCGCGCGATCCCACAGTAAGCGCTAAACAAGTCCACGGGGGCATTTCTTTCTTTTTTTTTTTTTACAGCCCTTGAATCTTTTGTTAGCCGCCGAGGGTCAGTTCGGAGAGTTCATCTTTTGCTTGTTTGTTGTGTTTGGTGGACCGGCTGGAAGAAGGAATCGAAGACTTGTGATTTCTGAGGTTTGCCATTGGTCAGCTGCTTGTGGGGTAAGACACCAGAATACGGGCATTCCAGGGCACGACAAACCAAGCGACCTGGGATTAGCGGGAAAAGAACAAGTGAATGAAAAAAGCTTTGCTGCAACAAGAGCGTCTTTAAGCCTTTGTTCTGCGGCCTTTTTCTTTTGTGTTCCACGCTTTTATTCTCGGTTATTCTAAACTCGTATTCTCGTTTTCGCGAGCTCTTATTGTTGTTCCTTCTTTATCTTCGCTTTTTTTTTCGCTTTTTTTTCGGATTCTTTCGCTATTTTTTGTGCCGCATCCCCGGCGTTTGGCGCGCACCGGAGCCCTCGGATTAAGCAAGCGCTCGTATTCCCCCACCGAGACTAGTCACGTGATATGCATCACGTCGCCTTTTGCATGGCATAAAGGACAATAAATCCTTTCTCGAGAAAAGGCTTTCCTAATCTCTTTTTTTCCTCCAGGGATCAAAGCATAGTTGTATCCAAAGAATTTCAAGTACTCATAGTTGAACTGAGAAACCTGATACTGAAAGATGGATGCGGCAGCGCAGATACCGGATGTTTTGCCGCGCCGCCGCTATGGTCACGTGATACGCCGGGTCTGTCACGGGCAACCGGGCCTATAATAAAGACCAAGCCTGGTAGCGATGATTCTTCACTTTTTGCTCCAGACATCATGTGCGGGCATGAACCGGATGTACTGCACATGAGGCTGCATCCAGAACTTGTATTAGTTGGCGGGCTTTAGATTTCCGTCTTGCACCGCTCGCCTGGTTTCGGCAATGCAGATCCGAGTCTTGAATCGGCTTTATTGGAGGTGTATTATTCACACTTCGGGCAGCACTGAATCACCATATCACGGCTTGTCAAACAGCGGCTTGCGCCCAGTATCAAGACTACCAATAAGGGCAAGAGAAACTCCATATCTGAAGCTATAAATCGGAGTCAAAATCAGATAAGTAATATTTCAGGATTCGTGTCTCTAAACTACAACCCCCAACAAGTTATAATTGTTTCCAAGATTAACTGGATATTGTAGACAAACTCATGAAACGTGTGGATAATTTTGTTTTAAAAAAACACGAATCGAAACTTTAAACACCTATACCACGTAGTATAGAGCTTTCCTAACAGTATTTCTGCAAGGAGATGGATTTGCCAGCTACAGCAAGATTGCCCCGGGTATAGGATCCAAAAGCCAAGTTATAAGAGTCATTCCTTTCTCATCAGACATACATGATCCCAAAGCGTAATCATCTTCAAAACCATACTCATCCCAAAAGTACACCCGGTCTCAGCAGCATACATGGTCTCAGAACATGGTCTTAAAAGCATACATTTTCTGAAGAGCATACAAGATTTCAGGAACAAAACAGGATTTTATCAACATACATCAGGCGTAGATGAGCTTGGCGTGTCCTTCCCTGCGGTCAAACACCAGCTTCAAAGAAGCGCTACACTAGGATCTAGCATGAATAAAATAAAACATTACGTATCGTATTAAACTCCGGCAGGAGTGTTCTGTTGCCCCGAAGACAACACGCCCTCCCCGGCCTTGTCAGAGGAGGTGTTGGAAGAAACATCCTCCTTGACATCGAATCCGTCCTTCTCCGCGTCGCCATCATAGAGACCCAATTGCGTGCCTTGTTCCTCAATTTCCTTGAGGGAGAGCTTGGGCAACGTGGCCGCAACTCTCCATGGCTGGCGCCCGTCCACGTGCGCCTTGGCAAAGATGATGTCGATTTCCTCCAAGGTTCTACCGGCGGTCTCGGGGTAGTAGAAGAAGATGACCGGAATGAAGAGGTAGTTCATCACAGCGAAAAACAAGTACGCGCCCCACGCGGACGTGTTCATGAAGATGGGCGTGAACATCACCACACCGAAGTTGCAGATCCAGTTGGTGCAGGTGGACACGGCGGTAGCCACGGTTCTGGTTCTCATGGGGTTGATCTCAGGAGGGTAGATCCAAGGCAACGGCAAGATGGTGAAGCCGAAAAACGTGATGAACAAGAAGATACCCACGGCCGCACCCTTGGCGTTTTCCGTGGTGGGGTTCACCAAGCAGGCAAACGAGATGGTGAAAGAGATACCCTGGCCCAAGGCTCCGACCAAAAACAAGTTTCTTCTGCCAAACGTGTCGATCAAGAAAAACGAGGGGATGGTCAGGAGCGCATACACGGTCGAGAACACACCGCCGAGAATCAACGACAATCTTCTCTGGCCGTTGAAGATGGTCGTCTCAAACAACACCGTGGAGTAGTAGATGGCCGCGTTGCATCCGGTGAACTGCTGGAAGAACTGCGTGGACGCACCAATGGTCATTCTCTGGAAATGCTGCGTCTTGCCGCCCGAAAACAAGTCCTTGAAGCCGACCTGCGATCTGGAGAAACGGTTGACGGCCTCCTGCACCACTGTGACTTCGGCGTGCACCTCGTCCGAATCGGCAGGCACGGCGTTCAACTTGCCCAAGATGTACATGGCCTCCTCCTTTCTGTTTTTGGACACCAACCATCTGGGCGACTCGGGCAAGTAGTACACTCCGGCAAACAAAATGGCGGCAAAGAAAATCTGGAACGCCACGGGGAATCTCCACTGCACGGAGCTGTCCACGTACGAGAGTCCAAAGTCCAACCAGTACGCCACAAACGTACCAACGGCCACCACGGAACCCTCCAAATTGACCAATCTGCCTCTGTTCTCGGCCCGGGACATCTCGGATTGCCACACCGGAATGGTGGCTGTATTCAACCCGTTACCAATACCGGTGATGACTCTGCCCACCACAAACTGGCCCAAGCCCCAGTGCTCTCTGAACGCAGAGACGGAGATCACCGTACCAAGAATAATGATGAGCGAGCCCGAGAAAATCATGGGTTTCCTGCCGTATTTTTCTCCGCGGAAAAGCGCAAATAAAGCACCGAAGAAACATCCCAATTCGTAGCACGAAGTCACGGCACCTTGGATGACAGTGGCATAATGCGACTCACCTTTAGTGGGTGGGAATTCGTCGTTGAACTGGTCACCGGTGATGATACCGGCCATCAAACCTTGGTCATATCCAAAAAGAGAGAAACCGGTGACGGCAACAATAGTAACTGCGAGTCTGAGGGGTCTGCCCTCAAGACCGAAATGTGCGGTTCTATCTATGAGACCCATACTGACAAGATATGTGAATCAGAAAGAAATGTGCTAGTTTAAGTCGGGGATAGACGGAGGAATGTCCTACTTTAAATACGATTTCCGGCTCACGTATTTGGGTTTACTCTATATAGCGGCCGGTCATTTGCAGCTTAAGCACGGGAGCCGTACGCAGAAGCTGCAGCATTATGTAATTGTGCCTTCACCATGCATACACAAGGTATAGCGAGCCGTCGGCCTGCGACGAAATGCTCTCAACTGCTGACGGCACGACATGGGCAGATGGCCCGAAACCTGGGGAAGCCGCGCGCCAGAAAAACACAGAGAAGTGGTGTTCGTAAATAACCACATAAAAGCTATAGCCAGACTTCTTGTCCTCGACTCTTGTTGTTTTCCACCCCTTGAAGTTTATCCTCACGATTGCTATGCTGAAGACCTTATTCTCTTGTTTGAATGTACGGCGGCGGCCGGTGTGCATTTCGGCTCACAAGCGTGCAGATAAGCGTGCATGCATAGTACTCTAGGGTCTGTGTGCCGGAAAACTCCCGCGGGCCAGCCTCTTCTTCACGGCAATACTTTTGGTTCTACGGGACATGGGCTAATGTTCGCGGTTGGCCTGCCGGCCACAAGCAGAGGGGCTTATTGGCAAGATCTCCTGACTTTCTCGACCTAGCCCGGGTCTGGATTTTTCGGCACTGATTGTTAGCATCAAGTATGAACTCTCTCGCCCCACTTGAGGCATGTATTGTAAAAAAGTGGGGTATACAAATAAAGTTGCTCAAAAAAAAAAAAAAACGTTAGACACATCGGGAAAAGGAAAGATTAAGCTTTCATAAATCCGTGTATTTTAG